TTGCTCCAAATTTCGACAGTAGCATTCGAATTGATGGTGAAGACATTTTTTTTTTTTTGCAACTGCTGCACCTGATGCCAAGCAATACATAGATGGATTTTCAGACCTTGCATGCATTATTCCAAACCAATGCATGGATGGAAATCAAGAACTTGGCAACTTCATGCAATGCATGGAAAATTTGGAAAATGCTTCAAATTGTGCAAATTTTTTACAGCATGGAAAATTTTTAAAAATTTCAAATTCAGTCCATTCCAATGCATGGGTGGAATTTGGTCTCTTCAAATGCATGGATGAATGTAGGAAAATTTTTTAAACCTTGCAAATTCATTCCATTCCAAAGCATGGATGAAAAATTTTGAAAACTTTTCAACTTCGTTCTAATGCATGGACAATTTTCAAACTTTTGAACTTCAATCCATTCTAATGCAAGGAGGGAAAATTGTCAAACTCTACACTTCATTGCAATGCATGGAAAATTTAGAAAATTTTTCAAATTGTGCAAATTTTTTTTTTTTTCAATGAGTGCATGGATGATTTCAAGAAGATTTCCCAACTTTTGCAACCTCACACAATGCATGGATGATTTTGAGAAAATTTTCAAACTTTGGAACATCTCTTCAATGCATGGATGAGATTAAGAACATTTCAACAATGCAATGAAGATGAGAGGTTATGCATGTGAGTGCCATGTCGAAAGTCCGAGAAAATTGCCTGATAGAGCCGGAAACTTCCGGGAATGAAAACAAGAGTTGAGAAGGTCTAAGAAGCCGGTCTAAAATTGTGGAACACAACTGAAGAGCATTCCAGGAAAATCAAATTTTTGGCTTTTCGAAACCATTTCCCAGAAAATTTCAAGGCTCAGGCAATTGAAAATAGGGAAGCTTGGAAATTGAAAGAATTGCTTCCCATGAATGCTAAATTTAGCGTCGATAGCTAGACGCACTGAGATCAGGTTAGTCCTCCTTACCCTATACCATGTCTCTCTAGAGATTCAAGCTTCCCTAAGTAAGAAAGTTCGTTTGGAAGCGGAAGAAAAAGAGCTTGAAGACAAAAGTTGGAAAGAGGTAATGGAAAGACCTCAATCCACTCTTCATCCTCAATGAAGTACTTTGGACTATGGGGCTGATTTGGATTATAGGAAGATGGAGTAGGTGAGAGTGCACCTAGCAAAGGCTTTTGAAGGGTCATATTGAGCACAGGAATGCTCGACAACTTATCCTTCAAAATTTCAACATCCTCCTCACACTTATCCGGCGGTTCGGGCTCAATAACTTGAGACAACTCAAGTGAGGGAATGGGATGAGATGCAAGCTCCCAAGAAAGAGATACATTTGATATTGACCAAGGAAGAGAATGAATAGGTGGATGAATATTAAGCAAAGAATTCACCTCCGAAATGGAATTGTCAACATTAAAATCCTCACAATTGAAATGAGCCAAACAAGCTTTTAGAGGATCCTCCATTGAAGGAGGTGCATCAAGCAAAGGATTTTGTAGGGGCTGTTTGGGAGTAGGGTAGACAATCTCTACATCATTATTTTTCCCATTTTGAACCACAATTGCTTCATTTTGATGTGGGGCAACAATTTGATCTTCAACCACCATTTCATCATTTTCACATGTAATAACCACTTGATCATTCTCATGATGAAAGTTACTAGGAGTAATCTCATCATTCATAGAATTTTCTTTTGGATTGGCCATAAATTCAAATGAAAATGTTTCCTCTTCTTCATGATTTTTAGCATTAATCCTTTGTTGAATTTGAGATATTTGGTCATCTATCATTGCACTAACTTGGGACTGGTGATATGGTACCACTTGATTGATAGACTCTACTGTGGATTGCATGCTAGCAAGGGAAGCCAATAGTTGATTATTGGAGTCCATCATTTGCGTGTGCATAGACTCCATCATTTGTTTGTTAGCAACAATTAGCTCATCCAATGGAGACGGTGAAAAAGGAGAAGAGGGCGGGAAAGAATGATCATTGGGTTGAAAAGGTTGCATATGAGATTGTGGGGTTGAATTTCCTATGTCATGCCACAAGAGGTTTTGTTGGTCTCCCCAACCCGAGTTGTAACCATTGAAGTATGGATCACTACCCGGTTCAAAGAAATTTTCATTTGGTTGCTCTAGATAAAAATCCGAGAATTGTCTCGTTGGAAGACAATCTCTTGTATGATGTGAATTACTAGAGCAAAAAGCACAAAACGCATGTGGTGTGTAGAATTGAGTTGGGAGATAATTATTCTCCATCTAGGAGTTAAACATCAACAACACACAACATAATCAACACAACAATTCTTTATCATCAACTCCACATATAATGATATTCCCTTTCTCCTCAATTATCAAGACAAAAATTAAAATGGCCACGACAAGGACCGATGCTTGGAATTGAAAATACACAATTGAAATAGCCTAGACAAGGGCTTGCAATTTATCTACTTCTAAGCTTAACACATGCACGATATTCACAATTCGAAATTAGAAGGTCAAGAGACTTACCCGGGGTCCTCTAGACTTACAATTTGCTAGCATTCCCCACGGCAAGCTTCGAGTTCCTAGAATCTCACTTACAACACAAAAATGGTTAAATCACACAAGAAATATTCACAAAACACAGTATTCACAATCAAACTAAAATTAACCCTAGAACCTTGGTCGCTAAATCGTTTGCAGTCCCCGGCAACGGCGCCAAAAATTGATCGGTTGATCAACTATACATCAACCTTCGCAATAGCACGAATCATTGTAAAATAGGGCTATTGGTCGGGTAAGTCAAACCACTGGGACTGCGCTAATCTATGGCAACCTAAGTGTCTAGAGTCATTTTAGAGTGATAAGGGGTGTTCATAGAGGGTTTGTTTTATGGTCACTAAACTAGGAATTCAAAGTGCATAAAACAATAGTGTGCTAGGAAGTAAAGAGATAGAACAATAGAGAAGAGACTAGGGAATTGACTTCACCACAAGCCATATAAACATGCCTAATTGCAATTAACTTGGGGAACAAAGTATACATGCAACCATGATATGTAGAAATGCAAGACAACTACAATATCTTCAAGAAGTTCACACATTCAAGAATTAAGTATAATCCATCCAAGGTTGGCATAAGTCATCTATCTAAACTAGGGTATAGAATGAAGTATCCTTCCTAAGCTATGAACTATCAAAGTCCTCAATTTGTGTGGTAAGTGCACATGAAGTCTAGAACTAAGCCATAATCCATCAAAGGTTTCCCTAAGCCATGGAATATCAAATTTTTTAAACAACATGCCATTAAAACCATTGTATAATCTCATCTTCATTCTCACTATAAAGATGTAAGTAGCATAATCATGAAGAAACAATTTCTAAGACAAGATAAGAGTCTCTACAAGATTAAATATGGAATGAAACACAAATACATCAATGTGTATCTCTAGATTAGACAACTTGTTACATAAATGCAAAGTTCCCCAAATATAAACATAATTAATACATATTTACTTGACAAAGGTTACATCAACTCCCTAGGAAGAGGTTTAGTTACGCATGGTAGCTCTAGATAAAGGAGGAAGCAAGGCCTCCAACTCCATTTTCGTGCTCCCTTGTGTTGGCTTGAAGAACTCCTCTTTTTTGCTCTCTTCTCTCTCCTCTAATCTTGTAGAATGCAGCTTCATGTATTGTGTGGCTTCCCTCTCTTATCTTCTAGAGATAAGGCTCTAGAAACCCCCACCAACCAACATCTCCAACCAACCATTAAAGAGGGAAATTAGAATTGAGGAACCCAAGATGCAAGTGGCTGAAAATGGGCTATTTCTGGATGTAATTCTGCCCTAATTTCGAGCACTCGAAATAAGGGCTCGAGCACTCGAAATTGGAGCAGAATGCTCCATTCTTGCCTTGCTCCGCCCGGACCTACTTTGAAGAAATGGCCATAACTTTGTGCTCCGAACTCCGAATGACGAACCGTTTGAAGATTTGGAGAGCTAATTTAGAGCTTTAAATACTTCATGTTTTTGGTGGAGATCCAATTCTCAAGGATGGTTGGTCGAAAATGAAGATCAAGGCAGAATTTCATTGCTGCCAGGCAGTTCTGTGCACCTCTGGTAACAAGGCCATAACTCTCTGCTCCGAACTTCGAATGACAAACCGCTTGAAGATTTGGAAAGCTGATTTAGAGCTCTAAATATGTCATGTTATGAGGGAAGTCCAGTTCTCAAGTTTTCAAGGTCAAAATGGCGAGAAAAGTCCAGGTTCCACTGCTGCCAGTAATTCAGCATTGTGACCTTTGATGTTCAAAACTCCACAAAGCATCCTTCTTGCTTTTTTTTGGCCAATGAACCTGAAAATATGCAAAAACGTGCATATGAAGGTAATCTACATAATTAAACAAACAATGGACTTAAATAATGCAATTAAGGGCGCTCGAATATGCAATATTCGGCGCTTATCAGCAGTTACCAAAAAAAATTAAGAAAGCATGGGTAATTTGGTAATAGTGTATGTTTACTAAACGGACATTAGTTAAAGTCACCCCCTCAAGATAGTTGAGGGGGATTTTTTGCTAAAAATATTTATAAGGGGAATTTTTTACAAACGGGGTGAAAGTCGAGGGGTTTTTTTTGTAATTCGCCCCTTAAAAAAAGTGCACAACTAGTCTTTACACTAGTATATAAATTAGCATTGTTTCCTAATTTATTTATTGAAAAAAAAAAAAACAAAAAAAACAAAAAAAACAAAAAAAACATGCACTTTGTTTAATTCATAAGAAACAATAATTCTTCATGCATGTGTAATTATTTTGGTTAATTCAATTAAATTTTAAAATAAACCACATTATTATATGAAACTTTTTACTCTACTTGTATTTTTCGTTTTAAAATCTTACAAAGATTTTGGGATGGAAATTAGTTGGGTACATACAGTAAATAATTCTGTTGTACACCATCATTATTTAATGTCCTAGAGGGTGACTTGGAGTACATCCTTATTAGTACTAAATTCTCAGTACTTTTTTTTTTTCTTCATGGATGAAAGATCAATAAAGTACTTTGTGAGCCATTCCTTAATGATCTTGGTCTCTCTCTGTCGTTGCTTGACCAACCAATATGGATCACTTTGCTTTGCTCCCAGTATGTCTAAACAATGAGATCCTGCAAATTAAAGTAGATATCATAACTCTCTTAAAACATTAATATTATTTTAATATAATGAGTAAATTATTAAATATTTATTCATTCATATATATACACACACATATATGCTCAAAACACACAACACCCCCACCTCCAACCCCCCATACAAGTAATCACAATTTTGTAAATATCCTTGGTGTGATTGTAAGCTGAGCTAGCGGTTTATATAGCATACACCTACCGTTAGCTGTATGGACGGCAAGAATAGTGTTTGATATGTTCTCCAATACTCTGTGATCAAAAGAGAAAACAAGCATATTAATTAGGGCAACTAGACAGAGACAAGTTAATTAATTTTATCTATTTGTAAAGGATTGAGAAAAGAAAAATGTATTTTTTAGATTTATACCCAGCACTACTATAAGGATCTCTCAGTCCATTGGAGAAAATGATGTTGCTAGCAAACTTTTGGAGAACCAATTTTATGTCCTACAATGAGCCATTGAAAAGCATATATAACTTTAATGAATATAATAATTATCAGACGCATTTGAAATAAATAAAAATAAAATAAAAAATAAAATAAATAAAGAATAGGAGAAAGAAAGAAAGAAACCATACATGGCCTCCATAATAGGTTGTGACCCAATGAGGTCTTGGTCGGACACCAAAGTTGCTAATGCATTCCTTGGTGAAGTTACTTAAATTGAAAGGATCAATTGGGAACATAGTGTCATCCCTATCACGACCCGCGGGCATCACCATCTCACTGCATGTCTAAGCACACCAACCAATAATTTAAATGAAGAAAGTTTTAAGATCTGCTAGATTTAATTTTCTTTAAATTAAAAAATATATCATATAAAAAAATTATTTACTCGATTGATAGTTTCTGAACTCTTTTATAATTTTACAAAGGCAGTGTTTATGTTTCAAACTTCTTGTGAAGGGTGTTTAGAGAAGTAATTCAAATGTCAAATTTTACAGAGCTGAAATTGGCCCTCCACCAATGTACTAAGGTGCTGCACTGTATTTTTCTTTTAAAATTAAATTACTAAAGAATACTTGCATCAAAGAATACTTGGTTCTAATATTTTTGATGACATAATTACCTCTCTTTGACATTTAACGTATTAGAGTATCTCCAATACTAAAATGCTAAATTCGAATGTCAAATTTATATTTTGACAGTGTTACAGTGTCAAAATGCTACATTTTAGTAATTTTACTCCAATGATACATTTTATGCAAAATGCTATTTTTTTTACACAACCACTATTTTTTTTCAACTACCATTCCCACCATTCATATTTGCATCAGTAATGTTAATATTAGGCACATTCCCAAGTCAAGTTGTAGACATTAGAAGGAAATAAAAATTAAACTTTATTAAAAATAATCAAAAATCTAAAATATATCAAAAAAGAACCAAAAATATATATATATATATGTATAAATTTATATATTTGATTATATTATTATATAAATTTTTTTATATAATTTTTTTTTTCAAAAATTTATATATATATTATATATATATGTATATTATATATATTTGATTATATTATTATTAAAAATATATATATATTTAGGGCATATCATTTCAGCCTCCCAAATTGCCATATATATTTTTAGGGCAAATCATTTCAGCCTCCCCAATCGCCTCCATCTCTATTCTCGTTCTCAACTCTAAGAACTTGCCCCCACCCCTCTCTCTCTCCCTGCAACTGCAAACTACAAAATCTACAAGAATCAGAAGTTCAAAACCCATATATTTCAGTTTATCTATCTATCTGCAAGAATCCAAAGTTGAAAACCTATTACCTATATCAAAACCTATATCGGCATATCATTTCAGATTGTTCAAGCAACTCAATCCACCAAGAAACATCAAGAAAGAAATTCACCATCTTCGTCGGAAGAATCCCAAGGAGGAATCCAAACGGATCGTTGCTAAGGAAATTGCCGAAATTGGAAGCTTTTGCTCTGAAATAGACGAAGGAAGAGAGCGATTGAGGGGGAAGAAGTAGAAGTAAGAGAAGAAGAAAGAGTGGAGAAGCAGAGGGCACCGATTTCTTCCATTGAAGAGAGAGAGAGGAGAGAGACTGCAGGCAACAAAAAAAAGCAAATAGCTATTACTATTTGTTCTGTTAGATTTGGCACCAAAAATAACAAAGGCAAATTTTGACAGATGATATAGCAAGCTATTAGAGTGCTCAATTTTAACTCACCTGATATATTTTGAATTGGTAACCCATATAGCAGGTGGGTTGGAAATGTTCTTAGTAGTTAGATTTTACCTTTGCTCATTTGTATGTCATTAGGAATTAAAAAAAAAAATGTATTTGAGTTTGAAACAAACTTTATAACAATGAATAAATATCTATAATATAGAGAAGATATTTAATTGAAAGCAAATGAATTTGTACTATATCAATAATTTTTAATTGAATTTTTTATTATTAATTTTTTTTTTTTTTTTTTTTTTTTTGGAGTATAAGTACGGTTTAATTGAATTAAAAAAAAATGAAAAATTTTAAAACTCCCCTACTTAATTTTACATATTTTCAATTATGCTAGCTTTTTTAAAGTAATAGATTTGATTGCTAAGTTTTTTAAATTAATTACAAATTAATCCATACAAAAACACTATTTAGATTTTTTTTATGATCCAAAACGCCCTTCTTCTTTATTACCCTTTCCAATTATATCCTACATTCTCCCCCAACCTAGTTACACTGTTTCAGACCCACAACAGCCAGCAAGGATGTGATCGGCGAACGCGAGGACGACGGCGAGGATGATGGCGAGCAAGAAGGACGCAAGGCCGGCGGGATGTGGGTCTGTTTGGCGTGAAGCTGCAAGGAGGAAGCCACCGATGACGAGCAAGGAGGAAGCAAGGCCGGCGGGAAACGGCGAGCTCGGATGATGGCAACGGTGATGCAACTGCTCAGCGAGAATGAATCGAACGAAAATTTGAACCACAACCACTGAACTGAAATGGGTTTCGCCGAAAAGGAATGCACCAAATTGAAGTGCGTTTTGCATAAGCTTGGAGCTCACCGAAATTGGAGTGGACTGAACTTGGTTTTTGGGTAATTCTTAAAATTTGAATATTTTGCGAGTATGTGTGTGATTTTGCCTAATTAGGTGTGATTGATGCCCATGGGTATGTGTTTTTTCATCACTTTTTGTTGTGGATGTTTGGATTTTGGTCATTATTGTATTAGATATTGGTTATGGTTTGAGAGAGTTGAGGATGGCGGCTGTAAATTGTTAGAGAGAGAGAAAGAGGGGAGAGAGAGGAACGCAGCTGGAAAAAGAACAAAAAAAAAAGGTTAGCAATTTGTCATTTTAGTGAAGAATGGTATCTTGGGCCATAAAAAATTTAAATAGTGTTTCCGTATAGGTTTGCAATTAGTTTCAAAAACTTAGCAGTCAAACCTATTACTTTACAAAAGTTAAGCATGTTTGAAAATATACAAAATTAACTAGTAAAGGTTTAAATTTTCCCAGAAAATCTAATTTTACTCCGATAGAAACTATGTTGTATGGTTCAATGAGCAAGCCAAGGAAGTTTGATTTAAAAGTGGAACTTTTAGAAATTATATTATTATGTGATTAATTGATGACTTTTAAGGGTATACAATGTAGTGTTTTATATTTATTATGTATATTACTATATAAATTTATGGAGGCTAAGACTAGGAAAAACTAAAAATTCCTCTGGTATTGCTCACCAATTAGGAACTTTAGGGCTAAGAAAGTAAAGAGGATCTTAATTTGACAAAGATTTGCCTCGGGGAATTATCATTTTTATTTGGAATTGTGGCTTATAATGTTCATAATGTTTGGTTTATAATATTTTTCTTTTCTTGGTGTGAAAAAAAAAAAAAAAAAAAAATACTACAATTTAAACTAAAATAATGTTTGAAAACTAAAAAATGTTGAAAGTATGGTTGCAAAGGAGCCGAGCTTTACCTTGCTTGGCTCGTCAGTTTCAGGAGGGTGCTCAGGCTCGGGCTTGGCTCAGCCGAGCTTGGCCAAACTAGCCTCGGGCTTGGCTTGCCAATATTTTGGCAAGCTCGGGCTCGGCTCGAGCTCGCCTTCAAGCCAAAAAAAAAAAAAAAAAAAAAAAACGAACGAAAAACTTTAGATCTAACACTGTTTTGACAATGGATCAAAAGAGCTCTCCAACACTAAAATGGGATTGAAACATTGAGACCCAAAGAGAGATTTGAGAGAGAGATCTATTGGAAACCCTCCTCGATGTTGTATTGATGTTGAAAGGGATGGGATTAGAAGAGTGATGTTGCAAGATTTGTTTAGGGTTTCATAACAAATATTACAAAGATTTGTTGGAGACAGTCGACGGCGTGCTAGAGAGGAAGAAGCAATGTTGCGATGGCATGCTAGAGAGGAAGAAGCGATGTTGCGGCTGCTGTAATGAAATTAGTCAGAAAAACCAACGCCTGATATAAAGATAGATATATATATATATATTTAAAGTAAAATGAAATTGGGCTAATGATATGTATTTAGATTGACTTTATATTAAATGGGCAACACAATTGTATGTTAGTATAAAATAAAATAAAATAAAAATTAATCATTTTGCTAAACGAGCCCGTTCATGAGCCGAGCTTAGCGTTGCTTAAGTTCGACTCGTTTACTAAACGAGCCTAAAAAATGTGTTCAAGTTCGGTTCATTTACTTCACGAATGAGTCCAAACCGAACTTTTAACGAGCCGAGCCCGAACTGTTCATAAACAATTCAGTTTATTTGCAACCCTAGTTGAAAGAAAATGAATAATTTGAAATTCAACAATTCTTAAGGAAGGGTAATTATGGTATTAAAAGTGTAAAAAACCAAGTATTTTATATTTAAGGACTCTTTCGTAATGTTACCTCAAGCAAAGAGAAAATGGAGCGCTTAAAAAATAGTGAAGCGCCAATATCAGCTCCCATAATGTTACTCAACTATATATATATATATATATATATATATGCAACTTACTTGCCAGTGAAACCCCACAACTGTTTGACTAAGCTCTGGCGTCATATTATAGCATGATTTTTCCCCTTTATAGGCAACGACAGCAGCAAATATCCGGCCAAGAATATCAGTTCCTTTAGGTGCTCCATCAATGGCTTGACAGATCTTAGTAACCGGATATGTTGGTGGGTCATTATATTGAGCTGCATCTGCATATATTTTGCCTTCTAAGTAGTCCTTCAGTAGACGCGAACCGTTTAATGGGCTGAACCAATTTATTAATTTAAAAATCATTCAGTTTTAATTTGTAAGGAAAATTATTATCCCAGTAATATAATTAATTAGTGGATATATATATAGAGAGAGTAATTAAAATTAATCAAGACTACATATATTTATGATATATAATTAATTAATTACTTGCAAGTCTTGAATCTCTGGCTAAGAATTGAAAGGCCATTTGGCTGAGTAGCAACTTTATCAATTTCAGACCATGATTTTTTTATTGTCCAGTAGCAATTCTCACTAGCTTCCTGCAACAGTCCGTACTTAATTATACCACCCATGCATGCCACTTGAATGATTCATATTAACTTGAAAAGAAAAACAATTAATAGTTAATTAATTTGTACCTTGAAATCCTTTGTGACAACAGAATAATATGCGCTCTGTGGAATGATGTCATCAAAGTAAAGGATAGGTGCCGATGAGGCTAGAGCTCCCATGGCGATGTGGGAATAGTGAAGCCGAAACCATGTTGCAAGCACTGAAAATTTTCAAGCATGGGGTTAATTAATTAAGAAAAAAAATTAAATGAATATATATATAATTGGATAATTAATGGTTAATTAATATAATATATGTAGTTGCTTGCTTGCTTACTTCCTCCATAGGATCCTCCAAAGACAATAACAGGAGAGTAGTGTGCATGAAATTTCTTCTTGAGATATAAGATTATCTTTGCAGAATCTGCTAATGCTTGAGCTGAATTGAAATAACCGCGAAGAGTAACATTCTTCATAGCCTTTTCGAATGATCCGAATGGAATCGATTTTCCATAGAACCGATGCTGAGAAATCAAACATGCATGTTGTTTAACATAAATACTAAAACAATGAAATATATATATATATATATATATACACACACACACACACACACACACGTATAAAGCTAGAGTTCTTGGATTTAGTACTCTACCTCTATATAGATTAAGAGAGCTTTAAAACGAGGGGCAATATCAGTTTCAAACCCAGAACCCGGAACATCACTCAATGGCGATTCACCATCAAGATAAACGAAGATTGGCGAGTGTTTCTTCGCACCACCCCAGTATTTGAAATTTATCACATATTTTTGTTTGAAAGTGGTATAGCTTTCAGGCCTATAATTGAAGTGATCTAGTGTTTGGGTGTAGAAAAAGGTTTTAAAGTCTTTCAAGTTTATTGCTTTTGCTTGTATTTGTGTTTCTACTTCTTTTCCACGTTCTTGTAGGTCTTCTCCTCCAAAAACGCTGAGCCTTGGTGGTTTATATAAACTTGCAGACACAATGGTTGAGGAGGAGATTAGAGAAAGCAAAGAAAACCACTGAAATAGAAGTGTAAGCAAGGTCGACGACATTATTGTATAGGGTTGAGATAGCTAAGACGAATATATATCTCTTTAACTCTAATTTGAAGCCCAAGAGTACCTTCTGCTATATAATGAATTATGCATATGGATAGAACTAGGCTATGTTCAGCCTGATGAAATTAGAGTTTTAGAATTAGAACTGATAGAAATGAAAAAAAGCAACTCACAAACAAATTTTTTTTTCAATTTCTCTAATTCTAATTCCAATACTTCAATTCCATACCGACTTAGTTTATTCCTATTGGATTTGTTTTTAGAATGTTGGAATCGGTTTTGATTTTCAATTTTTCCTTTTGTCATCTTCCTTTATGACGGCTGGCTATATACAGTGTTTCTTCCATTTTTATACTCGTTGCTTGGTAGATTTCTTTGAAATATGTTTCTAAGCCTATGGGTTGGCAAGGATTTAGAAAGTAAGTCCTTGATGTCTCATTTTCGAGCAACACTTCTGACTTAAATGATACGTGTGTTATGAAATCGGTACACATACTTTAAGAAAAAAATAAAAAATAATAATAATAATAACTGAGTCTGACACTAAATACACTCCACTTGATGCAAAACATAATCCAAATACTTGAGGCTAACAATTTCCACGTGATGTTTATTCAACATATTTAATAATAAATAAAAATTATTTAAAAACAATCCAAATAACTAAGTCTAACAGTAAATGCGCTGGATAAGTTGAGAAGTACCTAATACCTATCCTAGCTTAAGTAAATATGGTAGGTGCAAAGATCAGGAATGAAGCTGGGAGGGGTAAACCTGGTAGGAGAGGCTACCCCGACTACCTAAAGACTGACAACTCAACAATCTCCAAGAGTCACAAAATCTATGATGAAATAACTTCGAATAAAACTGACCAAAAAAGTTCCTAAGTTCATGTAAATGCACTAATCAAATTTATCATTTTCTCCTTAAGATGTTTGGATTAAATATTTTAGGGGATGAGAAACTCGAACTTGGCAAATCAATTCAGAGAGGTGGACATTTTATCAACTAAACTATTGAATAAATACTTATCATCAAATGGTACGTGGTTGGAGCTCAATTGCTAGTACATATAAAATCATATTATTATAGAATGGTTCAGAGATTCGATAGAATCAAAGTAAATATGGTATATATAGTGATCATGAACGAAGCTAGGTGGGGTGCACCTAGTGCAGGAAGCTACCCTGACTCTCTAAAGACTAGGCCAACTCAGCTATCTAGTAGGGTCACTAAAGACAAATTTTGTTATATATTTAAAAGATAGCTACCTGTAAAGGTGTTAGAGTAAGATAAATAATCCAAACCAATTTTAACATTTTCCTCTAAAGCTGCAAGACTTTTAAGATAGCATTCTTACAAAGTTATTAAAGTAAGGTAAATAAGCCAAGTCAATTTTAACATTTTCCTTTAAAGTTATAAAGTTTTTAAGTTCGCGTACCTACAAAGTTGTTAGAGTAGATAAATAAGTTAAGTCAATTTTAACATTTTCCTCTAAAACTATAAGGCTTTTAAGACGGTGTACCTACAAAGTTATAAGAATAAAATAAATAAATCAAGTCAATTTTAACATTTTTCTCTAAAACTATAAGGTTTTTAAGACGGTGTACCTACAAAGTTGTTAGAGTAAGATAAATAAGCCAAGTCAATTTTAACATTTTCCTCTAAAACTGTAAGGCTTTTAAGACGGCGTACCTACAAAGTTGTTAGAGTAAGATAAATAATCCAAAATTAATTGGATAATTTTAGAAAATAAAGACAAATTTTGTTCTACATTTAAAAGATAGGTACCTACAAAGTTGTTAGAGTAAGGTAAATAATCCAAGTCAATTTTAACATTTTCCTCTAAAGCTGCAAGGCTTTTAAGATATCATACCTACAAAGTTGTTAAAGTAAGGTAAATAAGCCAAGTTAATTTTAACCTTTTTCTTTAAAGTTGTAAGGCTTTTAAGTTAGCGTACCTACAAAGTTGTTAGAGTAAGGTAAATAAACCAAGTCAATTTTAACATTTTTCTCTAAAACTGTAAGGCTTTTAAGACAGCGCACCTACAAAGTTGTTAGAGTAAGGTAAATAAGCCAAGTCAATTTTAACATTTTTCTTTATAACTGTAAAATTTTTAAGATACCATACCTACAAAGTTGTTAGACTCAGGTAAATAAGCCAAGTCAATTTTAACTTTTTTCTCTAAAGCTGCAAGGCTATTAGGCACACATAAAAAGCTCACTGCTTAATTGTGAAGTTATAAAAATAAATAAATATAAAAAGTTGGAAACACAATTTATATAACACAATAACATTCATATCCATATACATACTTTGTTTTGGCAAAGTAGAGGGAATAGAAACTTGAACACGAGTACATTCGTTTGGGAAATTGGACATCTTACTAACTAGACCACTTGGTAAATATTAAGCATCAAGTGGTGGTTAGAGCTCGATTACATATAAAATCAGAATATTATAGAATGGTTAAGAAATTAGACAGAATCAAAATAAATATATATGGTAGGTACAGTGATCACGAACGAAGCTAGGTGGGGTGCACCTAGTGGAGGAAGGTGACTCCCTAAAGATTATGCCGACTCAGTTATCTCGTAGGTTCACTAAGATCTTAGTGAATTCACGGTAGCCAAACTATCCCTAATACCTTTTGGGGACAGCTGATGCATCCGTCCCAATATGTAGCGTCCTAAAAGCCATTTAGGGACGAAATAACCTTCCGTCCCAAATGAGTAATAACCTTCCGTCCCAAATACTCATTTGGGACGGAGACAAAGCCACCGTCCCAAATTCTCATTTGGGACGGAACAATTTTCTGTCCCAAATACGTATTCGAGACGGAAAGTTTTTTTGTGCTAAATAAGTATTTGGGACAAAAAATTGTTGTCCCTAACGTGCGTCTATTATTTTATTATTATTTTATTTTATTGGTAATATGTGCGCCTATTATTTCTGCTATTTCCATTTCTATGTTTCAACACAAATAAAGAAGCTAAATTTTAATGACCATTACTTAAAAAAACAATGTACAAATCGCATTTACATCAATTGTACTCAAATAAGTACCAAATAACATAGTATCTAGACATCAATATTTGAAATACATTCTTGTAATAATAAAAGATTAATCATCAAAATGTTGGTGGATGAGTTTGAAATGGTGAGTTTGGAGCAAACAGGCCAAGCATCAGTGGCTGCAAAGTATTTAAATGGCTGCCAAAGGGTCTATAAAGTTGTTGCTGCTGCAAAACAAGGGTCGATATGCACCGAACTGTGTGGACATGAATTGAAAAGACAACCTTTGATACTCCAACATACTATTCAGAATTGCCTTCAGTTCAATGATAAGACTCCCTCGCATCCAAGTTATCGAATGCCTCTAATGATGATTGGGTCATCATATTGTCCTGCATTATCAAACAAATGAATGTATAACCATCAAACAGAATAAGTGAGTGCAAAGCTAAAATCCAGATAACAAGCAATACCAACAGAATACCAATGTAATCAGTATTTGAAAGTGATAAACATATGCTTGAATGCCAAAGTCATTAAAATTTAGAATAACAATGTAAGCAGTAATTGAAAGTGATACTTTGGCAATTCTTAATGCAATTCAAGAAGAATTAGTTGATACATGTGCTTTATAGATTTTCCTCCATATTGCATCAGCAAGAGGCTTATATGTAAAACCATGTTCCAAGTCCAAGATCAAACAATGTACGAGTTAGTTAAAAGAACAGTTCTACATAATAAACTGCATGCAAATTTGATTGACTATTTTCCTCAATAGTTTGTAAATCAATTGAATGTGATTGTATATCTTAACTCTATTTTATGAATAAAAAAGCTTTTATCTTTGCCAGAATAAAATAGAAACCAAAACTAAAAAAATAAAAGGATTTTTCAAAAATTATAAATTCTCTGATCCAGCCTTGAAGTTGGAAGCAACTTTTCTTATGACTCGGGCTATTTTTCTTATGCATACTTGATGACTAAAACTTTGCCTTCAGACCTGAAAAAGATGAAGATGGGTATAATTACAACAGAAATTACTTAAACATATAGAAGTACCATTATCTCATATAGAATTTTCTACAATCATGATTTACTAAAATAAACTCATAAGATCATTTACTCGAATGAAAATAATCAAACCTACTAAAGTGACTAAGAGAACACAAACTTCAATATTTACAATTGAATTAACACAAGCATGTAGGTCACAGTTTGACCTCAATAAGAGAAGTGAAATCTGTTTCTAGAGGTAACATTCAGTACTAATTAATATGAAATCTTGAGCTAGAGAAACATTCCCTGTGATTTGGGTGGCTTTATTTAGCCACTGAGCCCTTAGCCAATAAAACAATAACCTTCCACATCCCAATTTTACTAATTTACAAAGACGTTTGGCACATTTAAAGGAAGAGCAAAAACTGAAAATTGATTATTATCCCTCTTTTTTATATTTTTGTATCCCTGCTTCAATAAAACTAATTTAAAAATAATAAAAATAAAATAAATGACAAAAAAAAGCATGTAAAACCAAAATATCCCAATTAATTTCTATCAACTCTCTTTTTCCGTATTTCTAATTCATGATATCAGAATTAAAAAAATGATCTGTTTACTGTTTTATTCATTGTCACTAGATTAATCAATTATCAATCAGTTGAGTTAGGAGAAATTGAAGGTTGCGATGGTAGGAAATCAAACATTTAAGCTTTAAATGGGCGTTCAAATTAAACACACAAAATTGAAGACAAAAACACACAGAGACATACAAATACATATATACACAAATCCTTTCAATGCTTGGAAAGATTACCTTCAGAAGGTTGGAGAACCGATCTATGCCACCCTCTGTATTTTCTATCTAAACAAAACCTTTCTCTTCTTTTTCACTGTAATTTGGGTGTGTATCAAAGCATCAGAAAAAAAAAAAAAAAAAAAAAGGGTGAAGGAGCTAGAGTTCAGAAAATAGAAACCTGTTTCGCCGGTCGTTACGAGTTCAGAATTACTGTATCGACACCCGATGTCGGTGCAGAATCAGTGAGGGAAGGATCTTTTGTGGCGCCGTTTGTTGTTCGGGTTACAGAGAGAGAAGAGAAAGGTCGTCTAGGGTTTGAGACGGAAGAGAGAGATTATGAGGTGGCTAGAGAAATGTGGTAAGGATTTTAATTATGGGGTGACACGTAATGCTTTGATCCTCCCAAAAACCCTTTTTGCGAAAATTTGGACTTATTTTTGGGTTAATTGGGACCGTAGGCCTCAACCGTCCCAAAAAACCCTAGCTTTTGAGACAGTCTTTAAAATGTTCCTAATTATCTGTCCCTAGTATCCAAAATTCTTGTAGTGGCGCTAGACAAATTTTGTGTTACATTTAAAAGATTACTTACCTACAAAGTCAGTCTTAGAGTAAGGTAAATAAACCAAGACAATTTTGACCTTTTCCTCTCAAGGTGCTAGGCTCAAAGTATTTAAGCCCATAGAAAAAGTTCACAAATTGCTTAACTGTGAAAGTTATAAAAAAAAAATTAATAAGAAATAAGATGGAAGTACAATTTGAATAAGAACACAATAACATCCATATATAAACACATACTTCTATTTTTTTATGACAAGTAGAAAAAGGGAGAACTTGAATATGGACACACTCGTACTCTATCAATTATGTCATTGGATAAATGTTAAGCATCAATTTATGGTTAGAGCTAGATTACATATAGCTGGATTACATACAAAATCAGATTAGCATAGAATGGTTCATAAATAAGATAGAATCAAACTAAATATGGGACATTCAAGTGATCATGAACAAAGCTAGGTGGGGTGCACCTAGTGGAGTAAGCTACTTGGACTCCCTATGCCAACTCAGCAATCTCCTAGGGTCACTAATGATAAATTTTGCTCTTCATTTAAAAAATAATTTACCTACAAAGTTGTCAGATTAAAGTAAATAAGCCAGGTGAATTTTAACCTTTTTCCTCTAAAGCTCTTAGGCTCAAGAATTCAGGCCCACATAAAAAGTTCACAAACTGCTTGCTTAACCATGAAAGTTATAAATAAATAAAAAAATGAAAAAAAATTAAATAAAATAAGATGGAAGCACAATTTATGTATAACATCCTTATATATACATAAACTTTTTTATAAAAATAAAAATGAAAACAAAACAAAAAAATAAAAAAATGGAAGCACAATTTATATAAGAACAAAATAGCATCCTTATATATACACTTTTTTTTTTTTTTCTCCCAATAAAAAAAGTCAAAATTGTAATACTACTGTAATCCTTGGTTTTGTTAAATAGAAAGTAATGAAAGAAATAGAAAGAAATTCAAAATGCAATATCTTTCTTTCTTTAATTGTTGTGAAAAATATATACGGATTTAAAAATTAAATTCAAGGAGCACAGTGTAAAAAATAATAATAACCAATAAACATGACAATAAATATAGATTCTTCAAATCAAGAGGCGAAAGAAGAAAAACATATTGCAAAATAATATGTGGTATAAGAAAGATAAATAGTTGACAAAAATTAGAAAAGAGAGAAAAATGAGAGAACTTTGAAAGAGAAAAAAAAATTGTGCTTGATTCAAATAGAAAAATTTAAATTTTTTTTAAGGAAATTAAACGAATTTAAAAAGTAAAAGAGAAAAGAAATAAAAACTTAAAGAGATAATTTTAGAAAATAAAAATTTTAGTAAGGGAATTATATGACTTTTTATATATACATTGGGGGTACGAGTCCGGGCATACACTGGCTCCGCCCTGAATATATATATATGTATGTATATATATTGACACATGGAAGTAAATATGCGAAGACCAAATCTTTTAATTATATTTAAAAAATCGCACAACAGGCCACTGTTAAAAAATAGACAACATGCCAAGAATGCTATCTACTTTATTTGATAGCAAATGTGCAACAGATTTTATACTATTATTGACTTGATGTAGTTGTAACCTGTCGACTAAAAAGGAGCAATGCTGAGGTCCAAAATTCCAAATCACCCCCAAGGCCTAAAACGTAAAGAAGCGCCGCCTCTTAATCTACTTATAAGGACTTTGAAATTAGTTTTCAGTTCATATTTTTTTGGTTCAGCAAAACAGAAGGCAGAAGCTTTGATTTTAAATAACATATGTTAATACAAATTGAGTCAAACAGTAACTAATCCTTTATAAACATGTATGATGTATTTGTGAGGTGCAAGTCCGTGCTACCATCCCCAGTCAAATTATAAACAATTGCACCCGTTTTAGGGAATTTTTCAATATTACCAAGTGCGAATTTCGACTTTGTTGTATCTTGGAAGTGCTTTGTTATAAAAATCGATAGCAAACTCAATTAGAGCGGGGAGAGAGGGGCAAATAATTTTTCCTTCTTCAATCGCCTATACTTGCCTCAACATCTTATCCTAATGTAAGGTGTTACCTTTACATCAAAACGATGTTATTTTGATGCACTAGAAACGTAATGTGCCCCTCTTTGTATAGGGTAGGTCAGTTTTCGTGAATAAAATATGATAGAATACATAAATATTGGAGATTGGATGGAGTTTTTCTACATAGATGAAGAATGGTGAGCACAAAGTCAAGGTTGGAGTATATATTCGTGAATAAGACAAGACATGGTCATCAAGAAATAGTGAGGGTGGATAGAGTTTTCCTGGAGAGATTGAGAATGGTGAGTGAGTATAAATTTATTAATAAGATAACACAGAGTGATCAAGAAATAGTGGAGGATGGATAGATTTTTCTAGAAAGATCGAGACTGGTGAGTACAAAAGTGATTAATTATTTTCTTTTCCCTTGTAGAAACAAAAAATCTTGAAGCTTAGTTATTTTTCTTTTGGTCTAGATCGAGCTAGTTTTGGTTGGATTCATTTTTAGTACGATTATTGTTTTCTTTATTTTTCGATCTTCCTCCCAAGATTATCTATATTTCTTATTTATTGCATGCCTATCCCCAACATACCTAAAAATATTACCTTTAATGAATTGCTTATCAAACTTCGAAGGTTGGTTATGAGTCTAATGTTTACTCTTATTTCAACAATAAACATATCGATTTCCCATGGACAATTTGATCAAAAATCCATTGTTTCATGTTCCTTTCTTGCACCATAATATATTTTTTTAACAAGACAAATCCGTAAACACAAATACTTGTAATTTTATGAATCCTAGTTTGAAATGATAGTATTTTGTTGGCCCCATTTTGTTCAAATAATTTTTTTCAATCATATGTGTTGGCATAATTTCATTTTATAGCACTTTAGACATTTCTAAAAATGAATGTAAGGGTGTTCATTTGATATTATACCACCTGTGAATTCAGTCTAATCCACGCAAATCAAATTTGATTTTCAGTTCCTTTGTTCGGTGATGGAGTCATAAATAAATAATAGGGATCAAAGTGATTCACGGATTTTGGGTCTCAAAAACTCAATCCATTCCAATCCGATCTATTATATATAATACTCTTTTTAACCCTAATACTAACCCCACACATTTTTTCTGTTCAGCCTTCGCACTTCACACACAATTGTTCACATTTTTTAATATTTTATAATTTGATCTAATTTTATTTGTTTTACAAGTAAGAGATAATATATTAGCATTACTGATGGTCTTCATTTGTTTCAATTAAATTGCAGAGACAGGCCATTGAAATAAAAAGATGTGCAATGATAAAGACTATTTTCATGTAATTATGATATTTCACAAATTGGTTGGGATCGATTGCAGGCTCTCATCGAATTGGCTTGGTTTCAATTTTTATGAATCGGGAGGGATCCGAATGGTTTTGATGTTATGTCTAATCCAAACTAACTCGATCCATGTGTACCCGTAGTTGAGGGAGTCTCCTTTCTTGTTTAAAAAGTTACATTGACACCTCCATCCAACTCCTTTAATGAAGTTTTCAGTTTTGCTATTTTGCTCATAAAATCTAATATAGTTGTAATTTTTCATTAAGTAAAATAATTCTACAAGGGAAAAATTAGTTTTTCAAAATTTCAAATTGTTAATATTAGTAAAAATCATTGTTTCATTTAACTATCAACATGGAGGGAAATATCTTACAAAATTAGGTACAACAGTGAATGTTAGTATCAGTTTTCAAAGATGGAAGTCCATGGAATTATATCAAATTTAAGGGAGATTATTGCAATTTATCATAAGTCAGTTCAATTAGCAAATTATTACCCTTTTATTCTTATTTTTTACCATATCACTTTCTTTTTCCTTTTCTTAGGATTTTTTTTTTTTTTTTTTTTTTCCGGTAAGTAAGTAATTGCATAGAAGGAAAAAACTGTACATATATACTTGGGGTGTACCCAAGGCCCAACAAAATGGCAATTGGGCATAACAGAAGAAATTGAGGAGGAACCCCAACCTCAAGCCCAAACAAAAATAAAAAATAAAAAGAAGCCAGCGAAAACCAAGCCCACCTATCCCAAATCATAAGAGATCTGAATCAAAACAAATAGAAAGCTCTGTATCTGATATAGTTGATAATTGTTTTGTATCTGATACCTCTCTCTTCTTACATTTTGTGCACATATATATATTGTCGAACACCTAACTACCTAAGCAAGCTACACCATGAAGTTAAAAGTCTTTGTCGGAATATTATTAGGTCTTGTAAAGAAGTTATCATCTTTCTTATATTTAGTTCACTTTAGGCATTTCATATGAAAATGCTTTCAAACGCTTTTATTATCTGTCGTCTTTTTTTTAAAGCATTTCAAATTATTCAAAGATCCAATTATAGGAGGCGCATGTACAATACTTACGGCTTAGATAAGTCCGGTACACGGTATGTCAGGTACACCCAATATCTATTCCAACTACAGATTTTTATTTTTTTTTTTATTTTTTTTTTGCCCTTCTAACGAATTTTCATTCCTCTTTCTCTATCCTTTTTGCATATAATTTGTGATATGGATCATTGTTTGACTCAAGACTGATCTTAAGGGTAGTTTGGTCTTTTTGGCATGAGTATGCTACAATTTTTTAAGTCTAAGGGCTATTATTACGTTGTTGTTGTTGTAAAAAATAATTAAAAAAACACTTTTATTAATAGAACATGCTATTAGTAGAAAGTATGCTTTAGTGATGTATTTTATAAAATAAGTTTTATACTTAAAACACTTTTATAACTTTAAGTTTACAATATTAGCCATGCACTAATAAATCTGTGCACTACCTAAATACTAATTATTGAAAAATTTTATTGGCTTCAATAAATACGATGATCAAGTTGTTTTGAATTTATCAAAGCACCTCTAATTTAATGGTATCTTCCCTACTTTGTGTGAACAGATAAAATAATAATAATAATAATGTTTTTGCTTTTTTATTTTTAAAAGAATTAAAAATTCTTTTTTTATTGTCATTTCATTTTTTGTTTAAGACATATTATTTGTATTTAACACTAAAATACAAATGATTTCAGCATATTTAATGTAATTATTAATTTGTATTTAATTATTATCATTTAGTAATCGTTAACCAAGCAAATAATTCCTGATCGGGGTGGGTCTTGGTGGCAATGTTATAGTCCAATACTCCACCCTTAGGTTCTTAAACGCGGGCTTAAAGGGCGACCCAAGCTCAGTTCTGGCGACCCAACCCATTCCAAATGGGGTCACCAAATTTGGGCCAGAAATTCTTAATCTCTATATGGGTCGTCAAATTTGGCGATCCGTTTGGCAACTGCCATGTCCACTTTTGATTTTTTTTTTAAAAGGCCCAGCATTGTTCAAAGGCTATTAAACACACTGAGATTAAAGAGCCATTAGGCACCCAATTTTTGTTTTTAATATTTTTAAGAATAGTTGTTTAATTTCTTTTATTTCATAATGAATATTATATTGTTTAATTTTTTTTAATATAACCGTTTTAAATATACACCTTGAAAAAAAGGAAAAAAATATACGATATCTAAAATTTAGAGTGTTCAAAATATTGACATGACTCTTGAAAATGTTAACGTAACTCTTGAAATAATGTTGACATGGCAATGCTGAATTACCAAAATTTGGCAATACCATTGCAATTGCTCTTAGGACAAGCTATGTGAATAAATGAAAGTAAATAATAGATATGTTAAGTGTGAAAGTAATTTTTTTTTTCATCTACTGATTTGTAGTACAATAAGATTGATTAAGCATCCATGACCATTGGAGTTAACTTTGAAGTAACTATAAGACCAAATTTTAAAGCTATAAATTTAAATGGCATGAAATTAAGGTAAATCTAGGAACGTAGTGGAATCTCAATTTTTCAAGAATAAAGTATAAAAGAGATGAAAGTAGAACCTAAAGTGACTTATTGAACTTCGTTTTCTATCTTATTTATTAAGGAACAATTAATTCTACTTTTACAAGTCATTTTAACAATGCTCGATCTCTCTTCATATGGTCAGATAGTGGAATATCAATCCTCCTATAATAGATTATAGGAGACATAAAAGTTATAAAGTGACTAAGAAACAAGACTTGTTTATCTTCACTTTCTACTTTAACATACATTAGTTATTAAAAAACAGTTTTACTTTTAAAAGTCATTTTAACATTACTCGGTCTAGCTTCCTATAGAATTAGATAAAAGAACAGTTGTTTTCTTATCTTCCTTAAAAATCTTCAGAGGACATGCATTTTTTTTTTTTCTTTCTAATATGCTTCATTGGTACCTATAATAAAGTAGCAAATTTCTTTAAACTACCACGGATTGTCTATCTACTTCTCTTAATTGATAGCGGACATTCTTTCCTTCAAATTATACACAAAAATAGGTTTTGAATGATGTCCCAATTAAATCTCTAAAAACATTCTTCATCAATTTTAAAAAATTATTCACTTAAAATAAGTTTTCATCAAATGCATCTCACCCACATTTAATTATCACTTTAAAACAAAATTTCACTTAAAAAAGTTTTGTTGACTCATAGTCACAACTCATTAGATTATGTCTGGTACATAAACTTGAACTTTTAATTTTACAATTATAACTTCTTGATAATGTATATAAAAAATTTTACTAAAGGAATTACAAATTTCTAATTTTATCAAACAACAACATAGCGACTACAAAGACACTTATAAAAATTAAAAATTCATTTTAAATAAGAATTAATAGATAATTCGAGATTATATAGTTTGACTAATGTATCATGTAACAAAAAAAAAAAAAAAAAAAAAAAAAAAAAGGTTTAAATAAGATCGATATATTTAATTGCCTAACATTTTGCGTTTCTCTAAGCCATCTAATAAAATATTTCTGATTGTTTGAGATTGGTCTGTGGTACAATGTGTACCAACACTGTCATTCGTGAGGTATAAAATTAGGTAATTGATCAGTATTAATTGTGTACAACTGCAGTTATGAAAATAAAACAAAAAACCCCCCAAAAAAATAAAGAGTCTGAAAAGTTGTACTGTAGAAGTAGTGGTATGGCAACTGATGAGCGCGCCAATATAGCTGGCTGCAGACTATAGTACTTGTTATTATTCCAAAATTGGACAAATTTCACAAAATTTCTCCTCCCAAAATTCAAAAACCAGAGGGACAAGCAAGTAAATTTGAGAAAATGACACCACCGCATTTACACGAATATACAAGTTTAAAAGCGCCAATGAGCCAGGTGGAGAGACAAGAGAGTGAGGAGGGTATCATCGGATTTGAAACCAAACGTTTAACAAAATTTCATGAAGTGGGCAAAATTCAACAGAGAGGGTCTTTGCATGCTTTACATTTTTCACAAAATCCCCAAATCACCCACCAGCTCTTCACTCTCTCTCTCTCTATGTGTCTCTATTTCAAAAGCATCTGGCTGTCTGTACTTGCATTTCTTGTTGTTGAGTGCTCTGTTCTCTAGGGTATTCAGAGTGTGAGTTTGAGTGAAATTTCAGTTTGGGAGTGTCTTTTGGGTGTGGTTCTGAGCAAAAATGGCTTCGTCTTCATCTTCATCTTCTTATTCTCGGAAGGAGCTTCAAAAAGAGCTCAGAGATAGTGGGAATAAGCTTCTTATGCCCCCCTCTTCAGTTGATGAACTCCTCAATCTTCTTGATGTAAAGACCTACTTTCTCTTTTTTATCGATATCTCTACTACATATGAATACACACACAAGCACATTTCTTTTTTTTCTTTTTTTTAAATCAATGCTAACTTTTTATGGGTTGATAATTGTTTGTGAATCACTGGTTTGGTTTCTGTGGTTTTACTGTTTATGGATAAAATTTGCTATGATTGGGTTGATGATTGTTTGCTAATAAGTGGTAAGAGTGTTTGTGGGTTGATGATTTTTGATGTTTGATCTTTTGCTTCACATTGGTGCCTATTGGGTTGATGATTATTTGTTGAATCAGAGGGAAAGGCCTTGGCACAACGGTTGCTCCATTGTGAGCCCTGAAGGTCATGGGTTTGAAACAAGGAAATAGCCCCTCCCCTTGCGGAGGTAAGGTTGCGTACATCTAACCCTCCCGAGACCCGCAGTGGCAGAAGCCTTTTGCACTGGGTTTGCCCTTTATTTTTTGTTGAATCACTTGGTAGGGTAAATTGATGTTTGTTAATGAATTTTCTATTTTCCACTTGTTTATCACTGATTATAGAAATCTGAATTGTTTGGTGATTGCTTGTTGAATCAATTTTAGATGTCTTTGAGGTGATGGTTGCTGGCTTTATGTGTATTTTCTGTTGCAACAGCTTAATATTGATATTTTGTGTTGTAAATTGATTATCGACAATTTGTTGACTCAACATCATGATGTTTGGGCGTTGATAATTCCCAGTCGCTAACATTGCTATTTGGCAATTCAGATCAATTTTACATGCAACCTCTTTTTAGATTGAAAATAACAAAATGAAAGGTCTTCTGTCTTTCTATTTCATGCCCATTCTTTAGGTTATATGATCAGTAGAATTTTGTGTTAATCGAGTACAATATTAACTCTTGGTTCATAATTTTGTCCTTTACAACTTGTTATGCTTTAGTCATTTAAAACATTATTGGACAGTGGAGAAGATTAAACAAAATTTATGTCTTAGTAAGTGCATTACAAATATAAACTATTCTTCTTATTTTGTTTTTGGTCTTGTGTTTTGAGAATAAAGTAACTTCTATTTCCTTGTCAAGGCCATGGATTCTTTTACTATTGCTTTATGCATCATGGTGTATTTTTCTGCTATATAAAAATTTCACTTGGATGGTTTTTGCTATTTACCAAAAAAGGGGAAAAATGAAAAAGAAAAAGATAAGAGGTTTTAGTTTTTATTTTCTTGGCATTTTACAAATGACTTACTTCGTGAAGCCCTAAAGTATTTTAGTACTTATTTATAAAAATTAGAGGAATGCTATAGTTCTACAATTTTTTTTATTGTTGTATTGAATTAGTGCATTGTCCCATGAAACTTTGGAAGAGTGATTGAATGATGATTAAGATGAGGGTTTAAGATAGACTATGATGCTATATAGGATGTACAACTTACAAAACTAAAAATAAAATTGAGAACATAGTGAAGGATCAGAGATGCTTTTTAACATTCATTTTCTACACTTGATTATTCACAAAGAGGGAAAAACTTAAGATGGTGTTAGTCATATAAGTAAAGTAGGATCGATAAAATGGAGGAGTGCTTCTTGCATATGTTATAACCAATATAGACCTCTAAAATCAAAAGTAAATTATATAAAACAGCTATTTAGACATGCTATACTTTATGACCAACTGTGGAGTGGCTAAGAAACAACATGTTAATAAAAAAAACATGGCCGAAATGCAAATATTGAGATGGATGTATGGAATGATAAGAAAGGTTAAAACTAGAAATTAATGCAATCTTTAGACAGTTGCAATAGAATCACCAATTGGCTGGGTATCATCCCCAATTGCATTTTAACTAGCTGGAAAATTTTGTGCAAAAGCTTTTACCGATTGAAAATAAAAAAGTTCAGATTTAACAAATTTCTTGATGTGGTAGGTTATTATTCGGATCTTCATGAATTGGTGTATTTCTTAGTGATTTATTCGCGTGGCCTAAGTTTTTTAAGAGGTCAAAATTCAGCCTTTTGCTGATGCAATTAGAAGAACATTTTATTTATTTATTTATTATTATTATTATTAATATTATTAATATTATTATTTGTCTTTATATGCTCTCTCTCTACTAATTTTCGTTTTTATGACTTCATTGTGAGTCGGATGTTTACATTATTGTTTTAGTTTGCATTGATTTCTTGGCAATGTTTGGCATTTTTATTACATATTTGCCTTCCTCTTGACATTTGGAAAATCTGGTTGTTAAAATTTGTTCTTTTTAACAGTATCTTTTTTTTCTTATCTGAATGCAATTATCATAGTTTCATTCTCTTCTTTTATTGTGTTTTGTAGAAACTAGAGATTGCTTTAAACAAGGTAAAACAAATACCATCACAATCGATGCTGGATGCAGTTGTACCCTCAATGAAGGCTCTGATTGCTAATGAACTATTGAGGCACCCAGATATTGATGTAAAAATTTCAGTAGTATCTTGCATTAGTGAGATTTCGAGAATAACGGCCCCAGAACCACCTTACAATGATGACCAAATGAAGGTATAGGGAATATCTCAAATGAGCTCTTTCAATTGAACCAATTTACCCTATGAAACAGTTTTCTTGGTTGTAACTTTCTTCAATAATTATGAAAGTATCACATATTTACAGGCTCTAAGGTTTTCTACTTTACCTTTTGGTTAATGCACAGGAAATTTTTCAGCTTACTGTGATGGCCTTTGAAAAATTATCCAACATGTCTGGTCGCTGTTATACTAAGGCTATATCAATTCTTCACACGCTTGCGCAAGTTAGGTCAGTCTTGGTGATGCTTGACTTGGAGTGCAATGACTTAATTGTTGAGATGTTCAAACATTTCTTACGCACCATCAGGTAAGAGTCATAACAACGTTCTGATTTTATCTGGATATCTTTTGTTGGAGACCTAACTCACTATTCCACTGTTAAAAATATTCATAACTTCTATAATATTCTGCTAAGTGATTCCAGTTTCAGAGTGATTGATGTTTTGAAGCAAAGAAAAAGAAAAGAAAGTCCTCTTGAAGCAGTGAGATGGACTAGAATTACTCCAATCACCACTTGAGCCTAAATTTCCAACATAATATGGGGAAAGCCTGAAGAGAAGTTAATTGTCTGATAATATCACAAAATCATATTGATTAAGACTTGTTACAGCAGAGAGAGGTCCATCCCTTATATAAAATATATCTACTAATGACTCGTGATTTCTCCTAGCATAACTTGTAGAATCCCCACACAACATTAATAACATTTTATTACTTCACTAAGCTTACGCTTAGTATTTCCAAACCTTAACTAATAATTAAGAATGAACTTTGACTTCATGAAAAAAAAGTGACTTTTCAAGGCACCATTCTTTATTTGCATCTAGTATGACATGAAGTTAAAGTATAAATATGTTATAACTTGACTTGACCATGTCCAGATCAAGGTTTAAACTTCAATTTCACATTAAACTCTGGAGTTCTACAAGTGGAAAAATCACGTGGAACCACATAGAAGTTTGATATACAAGATCTCTTACAAATAATAAAATGTCTAACACAAGTAAACATAATATTCTGCTCATGTCTAGTTACTCATATATTTGGTACATGTTGATAAGTTGTTTAGAAGTGGTTGTGAATCTATATGGTAAAATGTTCCAACCTATAATTTAAATGTTAGCAGTTTCAATTTTTTTTTGTTGTATCTAAGGACTGCAGTTTTACTAGAAACTGTATATGTAACGCTTGGATTGTATTTTTCAGTCAAATGGTTTCCTAATTCAACTATAACATTTCTAGATCCAGTTTGGTGATTCTGGACCTTTTATGTGCTGGAATTTTTTGAACACATCTTTCACATGCATATTTGCCTCTGATGTATTCATGGAAATCTCTGCCTTTCTTAAAAGACAATGGACTTCAAATTGATTTTTCTGGTGGTGAATGTGATTGTTTTCATGCATGGTGCACATTCAAATTAAAATAATTTCCTTCTTGCCAAAAGGGAGACTCATCCTCTTTCGATGAAGAAGTTTCTTTCACTATCGGTTAAGTCTTCAGTTTGACTAATTGAATGTTTGCTTAGAGAACAGCATTTAGTTATCAACTAACCTGTAATATGGCGAAACTATCCTTTGTTAAATTTAACCTAATAGGATGGGTTTTCCTTGGGGAATATGTTGGAATTATCTATAAAAAGAATATGTACGTGAAGATCATATCGATGCTATTATGTTTTTCTTCCTTTGTTTGCTGAATAGAGATGATTATTTCCAAGTTGAGATCCTCAATGTTGTTAGGGAGTCTATAAGCATATCTTTTAGTTTGGCTAGTATAATGTTGAAGGTGTTTGCATTAAATTATGAATCTGTGGAGTGGGTCGATTGTGCCTGTGAAGACTTAATGATTGGCTTGGTGGTTATCAGTATTAATCATGGATTTCATAGATTCGTTAGTGTGCCGTATTTGACCTCCTGGACAAAAGGTTTGCAACGCTGCTATGCATCTTCCAAGTTTCTCTTTTCTAGCATTGGTATTTTTTGTTATCCTCAAAGTTCCACATGATTAGAATAGTGAGTATTTTAGTCTCTACTAGGGTTATTGTTTTCCTTATCTCATGAAATCTAAACAATGCATATTTGTAATCATAGATAAACCAAGTCAATAGTATCTGATAAGTTGCATTTGAGTGTAGGAAAATGAGGGATGTTGTTGCCTGTTATACACACATATGTTCGATGTAGGACGAGTTGCATTAACAATCTCATACAAGTTCTGCTACTAAAACTGATGTAAGATAAGTGTAACACTCTCCTACTAGCTCTGTTACGGAAGTTGATATAAGAAAAGCAATAGAAGTATTAATAGGGCTTCGTTAATTGAACATATGGTGGGCTTAGGAGAAACTTGTAAACTTTAATATGTTGAAAGAAGTTTGTAGGCTATATTGGGATAAAGGATTTGAAGTTGGGTCTCTTTTAAATTTTAATGAGGTTTGGTCACTGGAAATCCTAGGGAAATACTTCTAGATTTTTTTTTGGCCCTATAACATGGGTTATTTTCTAGCTTTGGGTTGTAGGTCTTTGGTGGACAGTTAGATTAGGCTTATCAAACTAGGATTTTAAGGTTGTAAAGAGTGATAAAATGGATCTAGTTGGATGTAAATGAAGTGCACATCTAAGGAAAGGAGAAGAAGGGTAGAAGAAGAAGCTAGGCACACAATCCCAAAAGAGCTTCAAAAGTCTCAAATAGTAGTCTAAATTGAACTCACTGAATGAGTACGTGTGTGTGTGTATATATGTGGGTTGCTAGACTTGAAATTAGAAATTTAAGACTGACTTGTAAAGTCCATCTAATCAACTAAAGATAAGAAAAGCCAGTAACATGACCTAAACCCATTGTCACCACTATAGGTCATGTCTTGAAAATTATAAAATGAGCAAAATATTCTCGAAAATCTTAACGAAAAATAAAACTGAACCAACAATTGACTAATTCAATAAAAGCGTACAATAAATTTCAACTTGACTCAGAACTTAATTATGCAAGGTCCCAGGTGGCCCCACAGCGCCACACTGAATCAAATCAGTTATTGAAACATCTTTTTTTAAAAAAAAAAAAAAAAAAAAAAAAAAAAAATCTTCCTTGAACAATCTATGGACTGCAACACAAACATAATCATGTGTACGTGTGTGATTGTTTGATATTCTAACAATATATTTCTTCTTTGAGTGACTAAGACATTTATGGTTTATTCTTACTTAATGTAAAGGTCCAACCATCCAGATCAGGTATTCTTAGACATGGAGACAGTTATGACCACAGTCTTGGAGGAAAGTGAAGAAATATCAATGGAGCTTGTTAGTCCTCTTCTGACTAGTGTCAAAAAGGAAAATCAGGTAACTGTAATTTGCTTGATCTTTCATTTTGATTTTTATCATATTCTTTCTTCTATGAATTTAGTGATTAGGTATATCTTTTGTTTCAGAAAGTTTCACCTGTTTCTTGGAAGTTGGGTGTGAAAGTCATAAGAAACTGTGCTGCTTCACTCAAACCTTATCTTAGAAAAGCAGGGCAAACCATGGGCACTGTTTTAAGTGATTTTGCGGAAGTAGTGGTTTCAATATGCCAGGGTGCATTTGAAGGGGAAAATTTGGTGAGTCTCTCCTAATTTCTTACTTCTAAATAGAAGTTTAATTGAACATTTGCTTCTTATAATTTAGTGCATTTGCTTAGGAAGACATATATGTTTGCTTAGTCTAAACCATAAAAGCTCATATCGTGGCAATTCTGTTAAGGTAGAAAACTAGATCTATTCTAACACTTCTCCCATCTCATTTAGAAATTTTCCATCTTTCTTCTGATTATTGGATGAGAGTAAACACAATTTTCAGTTTTTTACTAAAACTGCAGCCTACTTTATTTCTGCAGCAGTCCTTTATATAAATGTATATAATACTATAATAATCCAGGAAATCCACATTTTTAAATAGCACTGCGTTTTCAAAAATAAGTTTGAGAAAAACAAGCAATCTCTGTGGTAGCACCAGAAATGTTGTCAAAGAGAGTTTTACTGATGAAATGACCATAAGGATATAAAGCCACAAAACAGACAAATCACTGGAAAGGACATAGTGTAATAAGAACAGTGACTTACCCGACATGGATTGTGAAGAATTACCATCTTTCAAACAAAAGAAAAAGAAAAGAAAAGAAAAAATGAGTTACCACTATGCTACTGTGAATCACGTGTGTAAACCACCTTGAATTGTAATGCATGTAAAATAGTTTACTGTCGTCGGATCATAACAAGAAAACGTTGATCCTTGCTTCATAGCTGGGATTTTAGACTCACTGACGGGGCTTAAACATTACAGCAACATGCCCTTTATGCCTTGTATCTTATTCTGGGTGTATAATGGAGATGCCTTGCTATGATTATTATGTTCTAAATTTTGCATGAAGTGTCATTTTTTTCAATTACGTAAAAGGAAAAGGGATGCTAAATGGTCTGGTTGTTGACATGATTAAATGTTACTTGAATCTTAAATAAGTCCAGTAAATTGATAGTCATTATTTTGGATTAATTGTTCTGATTCGTTGACTTGAATGCTTGAGGAAAATGATCTGGAAATTAAAGTTTCAGGTGACCTATCTCCAGCATTTAGGTCTTTCTAACTGTACTTATGATGTTAGTATAGTAATAATTGTGTTGTAATGTAATGGATTAGATGGAGATGATAAAATGTTCAACATCTATTTATTAATTTTCAATTATTGCTTTCTAATATTTAATACTTATAACCATCATAATATCTGTTAATTAGGTGGTAGTAGATCTTGAGTCGGATGCCATTTATACTAAAGAAATTGGTCCATCTGTGGATGAATCTTTCAAGTCAGTAATGAATGATAGGACTACTCAAACAAGGAGTGATGATACTATGAGTGATTCATCCTCTTTGGAGATATTAGAGCGTGATTGTCAGACTGAGCAGCATGAAGGTACTGATGCAGGAGTAGAGGCGCAACCTGAAAATTCAGACTCCTCAATTAAACCAGAAGCAGAGCCAGAAGAGGTTCTTCCAAAGAAAAGGGGCAGGAAACCTAATTCTTTAATAAAACCGGAGGAGGGCTACGACCATTCTTGGATTACTTTACGAAGTAAATCTGAAGGCAAAATAGATTCCAAAAACAAACCCGCGATGGGCCAAACTAAAGAGGAGACAGTTCCATCCCTGGACAATGTATTTGAAAAGAAGGAAGATGGGGTCCCCAAAGATCCTGAAGGAAGGCAAGAGTCACTGGGCCGACAAATGGTTGGTAAGAAACAGTGTGGGAGAAAAATTACTTCTGAGAAGCATGTTACTGAAGTAACAGGAGCTTCCTTTTATGAGGGAAGTGATCTTAAAAGCAGTCGGCCAAAGAGGAAAGGGAGCCTAATAAATCATGAGGGTGGTCTGGATTTGTTGTCAGTGCCAAAGGGAGGTTTGCTGAGTGATAAGCTTGAGGAGAAAGCTTCACGATATGCAGATGTCTCTTTGAAAAAGAAATCTGAATGCGCAAGAGAATCCAAAACAAAACCTGCAATGGGCTCAAGTAAAAATGTGCTTGCTGCCAAGAGTAAGAAGCATGTTACTGAAGAATCTAGAGACAAGGTATCAATTGAAAAACTATGTTTTTTTCTTTTTAGTTTTTTTTTTTTACTTTTGTTTTTTAAATCTTTGACAAGTGGTATCAATATAAAGTGTTTGTCATGCCTTTAACTTCTGATTTTTCTCTGGTGAGCTGCATAGAAAAAGGAAAGGTCTATAACCAAACAGTTAGCCAAAGATGAGAATCACTTGCACAAAGTTTCAAAGAAAAGCTGCAAGCGGAAAAATACTCAACGAAAAGATGAGGTATCATACGTTAAAATCAGGATGACTGGTATCTGATTAGTAGACTTCATGCGTTCAATTATATATACAAATTGGTGATCATTTTGCTCATGTGGTATTGTCTGAATATATTCATTTTTTGTTATATTTTTAAACAAAGTCCTTGTTGATTGTCAATTATGCTATATGCGCTTCTTGTTAAGTGGTGGTAATTGAAAAACACTAGGTGCTTATTTGCTCCATTTGTCCCAATTCAATATTTATATTAATTTTTAATTTTTTTGGGAAGGTTAAACAAACACACACACACCCATACCTCCACCGAGGCTCAAACACCCAACCTCCCCTTTGGGGAGGACAGCTTGTACCAGCTGGGCCATTGCCCATTTGATTATTACATTTGATTTTCTTTCTTCATATTATGGTTCTACGAAGAAAGCAGTGAGTTGCTATTGGAATGAATCAGAACTTGATGGATTTTAATGTATAATTATAGTCATTGTGTTGCATAGAGAACTCTTATTTCATGTCATCTTTAGAGAACTCATACATACACAAATAAAATGCAACGTATTCTGTGCTTCTAATGTTTAAACATAATGAAATAATTAAAATTACAATCATCATTTTGCTAATACAATGAATTAAGGAAAGCAAAATAAGGAACCAAAAACAGGGAAGCCTATCATCTGAAAATGAACTAATAGTAGATATAAGAAAATGCATGACTAAGAACTCGAAAGAATTTCTGAAATAATATAAAAAGCTGTTATAAGAAGTCCATTACCTACTGTGGTTCCCATAACCACATTAATAGAGGATGCTGAGACGGGAGAATGGGGTAAATATTGAACCCTAAGCATTTCTACTGTGTATGGAGCCGGCTCAAACTTGCATTATCACTTGAGCTTTTATTACTGTAGCAAGCAATGGCCCCTAGATATAGTATACTGCATTATAAGCCATTTAGTTAAGTAAGAGGATATTAATATATATTTTGATATGTGATAAAGAGTTTTAATTTGTAAATTGTAAAGTGGAAGTTGAAGATAGACCAGAAGATTTATTGGGGGATATATGGACCGTAATCCTAGATTTTGATAATAGAGTTGGCGCAAGGTTGTGATCTAGACCTAGAGGAGAGGTGAATAGGTCTAAAAGATATTAGAGACCCATAAAGATTAGATTTAAGAAAGATTCATCTTAATAATGGAAATTGAATTTAACAAATCTCAAGATGGACACATAGCCATGGCCTTCAGTCTATCCGTCAATCGACCACAGTGCCCTGTCCTATGAAAACAGGATTTTCAATAAGGAAACTTCCAAAAACACTTTTATGCATTTCAAAAAGCATTTTAATGCAACATGACATGAAACCTAAGAAACCCTAATTGAATGAATGCATATGAACATGAACCCTAATTGGTGAGTGCATAATTAAAAGTTGTGATTACCGTTTTTCCCTTGAATGTAGCTTTGATTCCGATTTTTCTCTTGGACTGAGGTAACACAACTAAACTCACTAATTTTGAAAAATCTAATCAAAAGACCAATAGGCCAGTGGCCTAGTGGTACCAGGCCCCTACTTTCCAAAGGGAGGTCAATGGTTCGAGTCTCAATGGAGGCATGTGTGTGTGAGTACCAACTAAGAAAAAAAAAATCTAATCAAAAGCTAAAAAAAATATAGAGATTCCAAGTTTTGAATGGAATTTTCCAACATAATTCCTATTGATCTAACAATCTTCCCCTTCAGGAATTTCGTGACAAAACTTCATAATTAAACAATACATTGAAATTAAAAATAGAAAGACTCAAACTTTGTCGAACTTTGAGTAGCTTGTGGATGTCTTCACTTAGAGTTAGTAAGGAAAGATATGATAACATGTGGTTTAGCAAATGCTTTGATATTAGACACGAATAGAAAAATAGGATTCATGTAGCTAACCACAATGTTGCGAAATTAAATAGAAAAAAATAGATCTAACACAGATTTAGCATGGTTCACCCAAAACTAGGGCTACGTCCATGGATTGCAGGGATTTCACTATGATGATCAAGTTGGGCCTGGTGTACAGTATTTATCAGTCTCCACACTATCCATCACACAAGTAGTTGGGAAAAGGTGTTGTTGTTGTTGTTGCTCCAACCAATAAAGAAGGCTAAAGGAAGAATGTGGACAGATAAGTTGTAACCATGTGGAAAATGTTAAATTTCGAAGCTCTTAAGTGCCTATAAGATGTATGTAAGCGTGGTAAACTTTGTCTTATTGAATGTTTGTGGTTTATGAGATTTCTTGCTAACCAATTTAGCATCGGTAATGGCAAATTATGCTTATAGTATTTCTTGACATTTCCTCCCACAAATGATATGTTGTATTTGTATTGCTTCCTCTCCATTTGTGAGTCTATCTATAAGTTAATTGCTGTATGTTGAGAACTTCTGCTCATCCCAATCTTATATGCACGCCAATCAATTCAATTCAGGTTTCTGAAATGCTCCCTGGTTTCAACGATTATGGTGAACAATTGGTTGGTTGCACTATTAGGGTTTGGTGGCCGATGGACCAAATGTAAGTACCATGATTAATGAGATTATGCTGTCATTTAATATCCTTGTTCCAACTTAGATAATTTGTCATTCTATCAAATTTGTTGTGTCATCGACTTAAAACAGAATTATATATATAAATACACATATATATTTTGTCCTAGCAAATAACTCACAGACCCATTTGTCCTGAAGGGTGCTTAAACCCTCATCCTTCCACTTTGGGAAGTAGAGGAGATACTAGTGGGCTACAACGTTTGGGTAAATAGTATTATATCTTTACATATCTTCCTTTGGCCACTATTATATCAAAATCCATTCAAGGCTCCACCTTTGATTACTTATTTGGGTTGGAGTCTTCAAGATGTGTTACTTGACATTGCTGTTCCACATATGTTAATCTCAATTCCCAATAGCAATATCACTATAGAGAGAAAATTGAAGTTTAAGAAATAGCAAGGTAACTTTGGTGCATGACATATCCAAAAAAATAAAAATAAATAGTAGGTGGTCTTGGTACATGATTAATCTGATATTTTATTATCAGAAGAAGCAGATTTTTTGCTACGGAAGTTAGATTCTAGGAGGATTTCAAGAGGAAGGCATTTTAATTCAAATATGTAGCAATTACATCCATTGATATATTGGGAATGACTTTTAGTTGTTGATGGAGAGACAAATGGCCAAATGGTAGTTTCTCTAGAAACAGCCAAAAGGGTCATCTGAAGCTCCTAACATCATGTTTGGTGGGAAGGAAATGAAGAACATCTATGGGGGCTATGGTGTTGCATGGATATGGACGTATTCATTTTGGTTTATGGGAATATTATTGGACTCCAGCAGTGGATAGACTTTCATACTAGAGTTTTGTAAAAGGAGATTGAGTACTTCTTTCACTATTAAGAAGCGCTTGGAACTCGAAAGATTCTTCGTAAGAGAATGCTTGTAAAAAAATTATGATGATTGGAGGGCAGAAGTGTTGGGTTGTTATGTGAGAGAAGTATTGCTGGTGTTATAAAGGAATTTTATAGCATTCCAATTTGCAGATGGGATAACTTGCCTTAACATGGGTCGTTATCATTGAGTTGATATATTAATAGATTGTTCTCATTATATGTTACTCATTTCACGGGCCTTGCGTCAACTAAGTGAATATTACCAATTTTTTTCATCTCACCCTTGAACCATCACTCGAATTTAGCTTATCTAACATATGTTCTTCCTTAGCTGGAATGATGTTCGAGTAAGGCTTCTTTTACTGGTACTGTTTGTCTACCATTTCACGTGAAACTATGCTACCACAATTATCTGGCATTCCTGATTTAATTGAAGGCTTCCCTATTAGATGAAGGACCTGCTTGGTTTGTAACTTTGAAAAAACAATTTTCTGTTTTCAGAGAAATGAAAATCAGAAAACTGTACAAAAACTCTGTTTGGTTCAGTTTTCTGAAAACTCAGTTATAAAAGGCCTGTTTTCATAGAACTGTCTTTTATAGTTCTCTGAATACAGTTTCTTGAGAACTATTTTCAGAGTTACAAACCAAGCATGCCCTATGTTTTTAATGGGTTTCACCAAAAAATCTGTTTTGCCAACTCTAAAATGGGATTTCTTCTCCCCTTCCCTTCTAGTGGTTCCCTTTTTCCATCTAAGTTTACCTCTTTGTCAAATTCCAGTTATAGCATTTCTTCTTAAGCTAGTTAGTTCTCTTTATCATCTAGTGTTCACATTTATTTGGTTATTGGGCTTCAGATGATGGTTTAGTTACTTTGATTGCTTCTTAGGGCTCTTTTTTTTTTTTTTCTTTAATCTCCAATTGGTGTTTGATAGAAGCCTGAGTTATGTCAAGTCATACAACTATTAGAGACAAAATTTGCAGCCTGAAACCCTGGAAAATTGCATTGTTGAGTAGGAGGGGTGTATGATGGACTTCACGGTTAACAAAGGTGACAAATGAAATCTTCTGTGCCCAAAAATGTTCTCACCGTGGTAAGTGTTGAATGAGAGGAGACTGGATTGAGGGTTCAATTCTTATTGTTTATAACCCAAAAAAAGGATTCATTGTTGGACAGGAAAGTGATAGCATTTCGACCAAGATCACTAAATGCTCTTCATTCCATTTTACAGTAGTTTTTTTTTTTCTAAATGGGAGATGGTTTTGCATTATATTGCAACAATTGACACTTGACAGTCACCATAAATAGAATACTGGTTACTTCAAATTGTTGTTGCACATGAAGAGAAAATTAAGTCTTTGGAGTATTTTTGTGGCATGGATCTTTACATTATTCTTTCTAAAGTCAGTAGGGTGTCCCCATATATGCTAGTGATAATTTGTGATGTTCGTTTGTTTGGCAGATGGTGTTCTATTAATGGGAGTTTTGACTCATTTTCAATTTTTTGTTGCATCTGGAATGAACAATATGTAAAAGAATTTTAGGAAATTGAGTTTTAGCTCCTTAAGCATTAGGATATCTTGCTTAGTTAGGTTTTGGGGTATATATACTTATCTGAAAATTGTTCTCTCCGTTGGTTTTGTTTTGCATGCTTGCCTATGCTAGGCTAAAGCTCTATTATAGAATAAACAGAAACAATTGTCGGGTTTAAATTGTGTTTGGATCTGGCATCTGGCAGCAAATTGGTCCATGTTTTGATGTAGCTGAACATGACATTGATTTGGCAAGTTGATGGGTAGAGGCAGATAAATTCACTCGCTCATGATATACATTTTGTGAAATCTACTTATAACTTATTTATAAGGTTCGGACTATGTTTCATATCAACTCAGAGCCATAAAATTGCAAGTTAAATCAAAGAGAAGTATATAACAGTTAGGGTTGCAACAAGAATTCCAATGTCTAGAAAACCAAACCCAACTCTACTCAAGGAATCCACTTCTATTAATTGTATTTTGTCATTCTGCTGTCACATGTTTTCTTACTATCTGAACTCATCTTAGTTTTCAACTTTTCATCTTCCCCTTTCACTAATCTCTTCCTCATTGTTGCAGTTATTGGTCTCATCTTAGTTGATTTTCTTTCATTTTATCCCCAAACGTGTTTATTTGTAGTTTTTATCCCTTCTTGTCTTACCACAAACCCATCTCAACAATTTCTTAAACAAAAATCAACTTGAAAAATAAATGAAGCTCGTGAGGGAAGACCAGCATTTGATTTTAAGACCAGCCATAAAATGATCATACATAATTACTGTTATGTAATTTATAGGGTAGAAGAGAACCTAACAGTAGTGGTTCTAATACTTTCTAATTTTGATGGAATTGATGAATTTCACTTCAAATCGATTAAATGCACTTCAGTTCTGGAAAAAAAACCAAAAAACAAACAAAGAAAGTAGAATATTAAACTATATGCTTATACAATGAAGACCGATATGAATTAGAGGTTAAATAGCTGTACTATGCGGTTCTTCTCACTTTTTAAATGGTTAAGCAAAGGATTGCTTTGATTAAAGAAAACTAATAAATTTGTAATTTTTTTTCCAAATTAGGGTTTTATATGTTGGATTTGGCTGGTGAGTAAAGGATGTGATTCATCTGAGGTAATATATAAATAGAATTGGAATGACTTTTGGTAGTTGGAGTTATTTGTGTTCAATTTAGCATTTAGCAGTTCCTTTACGTCATGCCAGGAGAGGAAAATCAACTTTTTTGGCTTATAATGTTTTGACAATATGAGCTAATGCAAAAATGGACTCTGCTGGAATGGAATCCAGCCTATAAAGTTTTTGAAGTGCATAAAAATTAGACTTGCAATGTGATCCAAATGTTCTGTGAACTCTTTGTCGTGTATTCCGCTTTACATCATTGGACAGTACTGCCTGCTTAGTTTGGTGAAGGGTTGCTGAATGTGAGTCGAGATCTTGATGTTGATGCTAACTGACCTTGAATAATTTGATCTTTTTAAGTTTATTTTTTTGCAATGACATCTGTGACATTTATTTAGATGAAAATTCTAATATACATTCTCATATTCAATTTGTCATTCTACAGGTTCTATGAAGGCGTTATTAGTTCTTTTGATCCTTTAGAAAGGAAACACAAGGTGAGAAGACTATCACTGGGTCCTATATGCTTTTTTAAGAGAATTTCTTTAGAGAATATACATAACTAAGTTCAAGCATCTCTAATAAACTTTTAGAGTAGTTGCTACTTAACATGGAATCACAGCAGCAGGTAAGATCTTAAGGTAATTTCTCACTGCCCATACTCAGAATAATTATAATTGGTGCACCTGTTGGCTCACTCATGATGAAGACTAGCCATGCATGAGGAAGGGTGTTAGAGAATTTAAATAATTAAACACACCTTCTCTGACACCTTAAATTCAACTTTTAGAGTGGCTGGTGGTTAACACATATTGCTTTACAACTCATCCAAAGTCCAAACCTGTCTTGGGGTCCTTTCTGCGAATCCTTTTTGCTTCTTCGCTATCTCATGTCATATTTAATGTTAAATTGTGGGCTATGTCGAATTTTGAGTTTTTGACTCACGCTCTTCCATATTGTTCTCTTGTAATTTTACTGCTGTTGCTTGAACCAAATCACTTCTATCATGTGGAGTAGGAGTCATTGGTTGGTGCAATGGTAAAATCTTGGATGGAATAAGCATGAGGAGGTCAGTTCGTCTCTGAGAACAGTCACTTTGTGGAGTTTATCTAAAATACAACACACTCAAGTAGATAGTGAAATTCCACATCAATAGATGGGGAACTTATTTCTCACACCTCTGGGGTAACGGAGTTGCATAATGCGATTTTACCGCCTTGCTTTACCACATAACAGTCTACGACAACCCCGAATCAAGAATTTCCCCTGTTGCTCCATAGACAGAACTCTCCTCAGGGTGGCAATTCCCCTCAAGCTCCTCAACAGTACATGTTTTGACTTTTGCTCGGCAACTACATCAAAAACCTCTCTTCTTTCACTCTAGTTGTCAATAAACACACCTCTCTAGTCTTGAATAGAGGCAGGAATCGAAGATTTTCATAATCTATTTTCATTCGTAAACGTCTTATTCTAAAACTCGATGCAACAATGACTGTATTGATGCTGAATTCCCAAATCATTATAAGGGGGAGGTTTGTCAAGTATATACCGAGGTATCCACTGTCGCTGAGGGTATGGAATTTCGTGTTGGGCAGGAAGTGTCTCCTAGCAAGGTGAGCTGTGTGGTTCAGTTGTCTTTGAGAACAGTCACTTTATGGAGTCATCTATATTGACTGCACATTACCAGGCCTTCTTAATCGACTTTTCTCATCCTTTTTTTCACTTAGTGGCACACAAATTCTTTTCTAGTTTTTTCTTAATCTTTTCATCTATTCTATGGCTTTCTTTTTAGGTATTATATGCTGATGGAGATGAAGAAATACTGAATCTCTGTTGGGAACGCTGGGAATTGGTTGGGATGAACATTTTGCCAGATCGAGTGAGGATTTTTCCTGATTCTGTTTTTCTCCCTTTGTCTGTTTCTTTTCCTCATTTTTGTTTCTTAAATCTTCCTGGCTCACTTTGAATAACAGAGGCAAGAAAAGGATGTTCCAAGTCCCGATGCTATATCTGACATGTAAGTGTTGTTTCTTGACTGATATGTGGCTTTTCCCTTGATCCTCATAATAAATGTGTATCATATGTGATGTTTTTAATCCAAATATCTTTAATTGGTAAAGACCACCATCTTTAAATTTTGTTGTTTGCAATTTATGTCGCACTTCAAATAGAAAACTTGAGTTATACATATAGAAATTATAATATTGCTGGAAAACTGTTGGTCTTTTCAATTATTTGTAAACTTATTCCAAAATACATGATTGTTAAAAGCAGCTTACAATTTTATATTTATAATGCAGCTTCAATAGTGCTGCTGTTTGCATATCTCCCAAATTTTTTGACAGTTTCTTTTATTGACCTACTCAACTGACTAACTAAACAAACTTTTAGAACATAAACAAAAACTAAAAATCAAGATTATAAAATCTGTTTTGAACGAAATTTGCCAACTGAAGTCCAATTGAACTAAAACTTATATATCATGGCCATACCAGTATTTTTCGCCTTCTATGAGATATTTTACCTCCAGCAGATTGGGTATTGAATACTCCTGTAATTCTGAATCTCTCTTTCTTTATTCTTCGTCTTATGCTCAAGTTGACTCTGATATTGTATTTAAAAGAGATTGTTAGATAGGTTGAAGCTCTCTCACTGATTTTCAAAATGAATCTAAATTTTCTTCTTCTTGAGGTTGGAATCTAGTATTGTTGCATATGGTTGTCAGGGGTATAGAATAGTTGACTTCCACCTGTGTGTTTGTGTGTGTGTGTGTGTGTGTGTGAGAGAGAGAGAGAGAGAGAGCAAGCCCAGTCCCCCCAACATATGCAACCAGTAATCCATGCTTCCTTGCCCACGGCCACTAGTAACCAGTTTTCAAGCTACTTATACATACCTGATATTACATGAAGCTAGAGTACATGATTTTAGTGTTGGAATTCTCTTGGTTACTAAGCTTCTCGCTGAGGTGGCTTGACAAGCACCTTCTTTGGGAATTAGTTGGGGGTATAGCTGGGATCTCAAGGGCTGGAGTTTAATTAGTAAATACTTCTAAGCTGTTTTTATTTGTCTTTTTTAACCCACATCATGAATAGAGCATGTGATAACCGCTTCCTGAAGGAATCTTCTAAGTAGTTCAAACCCCAAACCTTAAAATTTACAAGGGAAAGATTTAGCTAGTATGTTAGTTTCCTAGAATGCACGTTACCAATAGGAAAACTTATTCAGTTTTTATTTCCTAAGCACTTCAGAGTACAATGGATCACTGCAAAGAACTAATGAAAAATGGTTGAAAGATATACTATATGCGACATATCCTTAAATCCTGAATTGGCTTTATAACAAAACAAAGAAAGAAAAATGGCAGCTGTGATGGTTGTTTCATCATCGTACTGCATGTATGGTTTTTATTTTTTACTTGATCTCTTATCGTTTTTGGTTGGTCAATTTGGGCAGGCAACAGAAGAAAGGGACAACAAAGTCAAAGACTTCCATGAAACAAGAAAAAATGGACAATTTGTCAAAAAGGTTGGTTTTTTTTTTTTTTTTTTTTTTTAATATTAATGGATATTTGAAGGGAAAAATCCTCTCTGTGTTATCATTTTATTCCCTTCCAATGAGCACTGCACCGTTTGGCACTGAAAGTTCTGTTTTTTCTAGCAGAGGTGGAGCCTCTGCCGGCAGACCAAATGTCAAAGCCACAAAATCAGGCAGACCCACAGATGTTTCTGTCACGGACGCCCTTAACATTGTTGATAAATTGGGAGACGACACATCTGAACCAAGCAGAAAATTGAATGATGGCCAAAAATTTACCAGCAAGTCAAAAGCTGAAACACCTATGACGATTCCGAGGATCAAGCGTGGCACCTCCCAAATTGTAACCAGGAGTGAAATTGCCAAAGCCGGTGATGCGTCCTGTATTATATCCAAGTGTAAAAACACAAAAGCCGATAGTGAATCCAATACTAACAATGCTAAACAGAAACATATATCCTCTCAGGCGAAATTGGGTGGAGATATGGGGAAAGAGAAGTTGACAGATCCAGTTGACACACAAGAAACCGAGACACCAAAACCAAAGAAGCAGCGAGGTAGATTGGTCAAAAGCTGGGCAAATCAAATTCTTTCCCAACCTGATCTTATGCAGAGTTGAAGTTCTGTTTTATCTTTTGTAGTTCTCAATATATGAGCTTCTGAGGCCTTGTCTCTAATCATAGGCACATAGATGTAACTTTTGTTTATCTTGAACTGAAACTTAAATTTGGCGGCAAGGCATGTAGGGTTATATTATATGAACAATGGGTAAGTTATGGTATAGGATAGTGTTTGGGGCATTTATTTTGTCCTATATGTATAATCTCTCCTTGGCTGTTGAACTTTTGTAATTAGTTTGAACAGCCTGGATTTTTGTTATAGATGTCTTTTATCCATAGTTTTGAATGATCACCAACTCTGATGTTACCAATGCTCTTTTACTTGTTAGCATCTTTGTTGATCTTTACCACCTTTATACTTTTTGCAATTAAAATTTAGCGTGTTAAGTTTCATTTTTACATTTCCATCTCCATGTCATAATTTTAGTAAAATGATCCTCTTAGGCAGGCGCCAATCGCATTCAATTCATAGGTATCTGTTGTTTTTTCACCATACTAATAGATGGATTTATACTTGGTTTGTTGATTCGTTTTGCTCTGAATCTTGACTGAACATTTCGATAGAGTTGCTTCAGTGAGATGCTGATCGAAAGCCTTATCTTTGGACCAGGGAAATAATCCGAAGTGAGTTTCTTCGACTATTTGATCATTTCTGGTTTCTTCTTCTTGTGAGACTGGAAAACCTGGTTGGTTACTATATTAGTATATCTCCGGAACATTGGGTACCAAACACCTCCTGTTGATTGATGTGAAAACATAGTTGTTTGTCAATGTTGTTGTATCAAACGATTCAGAAATGAATTGGAGACTTGCCATGTGTCTTCATGGTCTTCTAGAGCACGTGGATAATATGCTCAAAAACAAATCTTGGGCGTTGAGATTTACTTACCATTGACATTTTCAACAATGAGCTAAGACTTGGGATGGTTCTAACACAATTGAAAATGCTGAAGTCTATATAACTATATGAGAAATTGAGATACATGCGGTAGGTATAACAAACCCAAAAGAGGCAAAAAAAAAAAAAAAAAAAAAAAAATAAATAAATAAATAAATTCTAAAGTCTATATAACTATATGAGAAATTGAGATACAAGCGGTAGGTATAACAACCCCCCCCCCCCAAAAAAAATAAAAAACAAAAACAAAAAACACACAACAGTATCGTGGGACCCAATATATACAAAACTAAGAGTAAATTTGATTGATCTCTCTTCAAGTGTAAGACAAATTAGGCATTTTATTTTTTCAGCTTTTCGTGACATATGGCTTGTGTGTTCAATGACATCAATAGGTATGTTGATCAAATCTTTTAAAATGACAATTTTATTCTTCTTTTGTATGAAAATTTTACCTTTTTCTTGTATAAAAATCAAGGCGTTTTTGACTTTTCAAGTTCAAAATAACCTTTTGACAGCCAATAAATAAGTTTATGGAAAGTCAAAAGAATGAATACTCAATAATTTAACTTAATTGTGTATAATTTTTTTAAACTTGATGAGAGGTAATGTAATTTACTCCAAAAGCTATAGTCCTCTTACAAATTTTCCCGCCATAAAAAAGAAGAGTGTGTGGAAGAGGAATTGTCCAAATCATGATTCGTAATCACGGTGTAACGGACTCGAACAAAATCAGTGCAAATTAACCGAATTAATCGGTATGAAATTTTTGAAAAAGATTCTCATATCGACTAATACATCGTGTATCAATTGATACGACAAACTATAGTCCAACCACCAACAAAAATTAGATCAGAATAGAATAATTGGTTCATAAGATCGTCAAAAGCGGAGGCAAATGGCTTTTCCATTTACTCAACAAACCAAATAGTCTTAAATGGTCCTAGGCTCCTTGCTATTTTCTCTATAACTGCCGGTGATTGTGTGAAGTTGGTAGTAAGATGAGGAAAACTGATTAGAAGCATTTACAAAACACGTGGCAGCATTTGAAGGCCTGAATCTACAATGTACGTTTTTTACTATTTTATACTCTGACCTAACTTAAATTATTGAAGTACTTGGATATAAATTTTGTGATGACTTCTGAAAATGATAAGAAAAATCAAGGGTTGGATTTAAAGTGAAATGACAAAACAACTTTTGTGAAAGAAGAAATTTTGGTCTAAACGTGTTCAACAGGTTGATCATATGGCTCGTGTGAAAATTCTTTCTTTCTAAAAGAGTTGTCATACCACCAACTCCAACCATAAGAGGCTAGGAAATTTTGACCTAGACACATTTTCTTCCGTGTAAGATTCTCGTTTTTTAAAAGAATAGAATATAGGGTTCGTTTGATTAGCCGAAAATTAATAGTGAAAAGTGAAAGAAAAAGAAAGTGAAGTAAAAGAAAAGAAAATTATGTTTCTAACGTGCATTTGGTTAGCATGATTTTTTTTAAAGAATTTGTAAAAAAATGTTGTTTCATTAGTTTGATTAGTAAGAAAGTGAAAGGAAAATAATTTATGTACCAAAATTACCCTTATGAATTCAATACTAAGTAAAATACATCATACAACAAACATAATAAAAAATATAAATAATTATTTTATGATTAAAAATATATGTGAGTGCGTATATTTAGAGTCCTATTTTAAAGAGCCACAAAATTGTAACTTAATTAGTACCAAGTAAAAAACATCATGCAACAAGCATAATAAAAAAATATAAATAATTGGTTTATGAATAAAAATATGTGTGTGCATATATATATGGAGTCCTAATTTAAAGAGTTAGAAAATTATAACTTAATTAAGAGTCCTAATTTAAAGAGTTATAAAGTTATAATATAAGTAGGAGTCCTAATTTATTAAATAGAAGTCAACTAAGAATATCATTTTTTTAAAAACTTTTCTTTTCACGCTAGTCAAATTATTAAATAATTTAAAAAGTTCACGCTAACCAAATTAACCCTTATACTTCTTTTGAAATAAAGTTACCATAAAAAGTCTTACTTTTAAGTAAATATTGGATGAACCAGTTAGGGAGTCCGATTATTAATAAATATTGAGTGAACCCGACATACAATATCAACAGTATATCCACCCAATTAGAATACGTCATTAAACGTCATTAAATGAAATGATTACCTTTCTTTAAGTATTTGGAATGGTGTATTTTGATCTGACCATCCAACCCTCAATGATTTTGAAAGTTGTACGGATGTGGATCCCACAATCCTCTCCCAAGAGTCCACGGTTTTAGGATATTTTCCACTCATTTGACCTTCAAAACTCTCAACAATTCACATCTCGCTGTCAAATTTTTTACCTGGGTTGGCGAGTTAGGTTTCGTTTGGATACGCAGAATAAAAAAAATTAGAAGAAAATAATAATAATAATAACAACTGTAATTAATATTCATATTTGGATAAATAACAAAGAAAAAAAAAGAATAATAATTAAATTATTATATTATCCTTTATTATTTATTACTTTATATTATTAAATTAAATATGTTACTTAATACTTTTGATTATCATATTACATATCCAGCAAGGTTTTGAAGATATGATCTTCCTCATTTCATTTTCCATCAATTTATTAATTCATTATTTTATATTATTAAATTAAATATCTTACTTAATACTTTTGATTATTATATTAAATATCCAACATGGTTTGATATGAACGATACAGGCTTCGTACTTTGTTTGGTTGTTCCATGTAGGACATTATTAATCCACAACTCCACTTAATTAAGGATTCATTTTTACTAGTTCATGAATGATAACTTATTTCATGAAACCAAATAATTTAAAATTTAAACCTCGAGTGTGTGTGACAAATAAACCTGTTTTAAAATATATGGTTAGCATAATGGAATTAAATTGTTTCCGTGGGTTGCCAAACACGCCATAATGCTGCAACAAATTCAATACATTGATTGGATTCACCGGGTATGAAGATTATATTAAGCTTAGTGGACCACTGGACACACTGTAAGGTATCTAGATCTCAATCTTTATATGGAAGTAAGTCCTAATGTTAGCTTTATGATTAAAATAAGAACTTAATAGAGATAAGAACATAATTCATTGACTGAAATCCAAAAATTGATTCAAACACAGCAGAATTCTGACCTGAATGTCGGAGTTGGAGAAGAGGCGAAACCGGCGCTACAAAAGAGCCAAAGCCGGAGAAACAAACGCGAGAGGAAGAGATAGAGAAGCGGAAGGAGGCGAAACCGGCGCTACAAAAGAGCCAAAGCCGGAGAAACAAACGCGAGAGGAGGAGATAGAGAAGCTGCGCCCTAATATTATTGATTAGGACTTGAGTGTAATATAAATTTTGTGTAAAGAATGTTGAAGGCTAATTTTGTCTTTAATAAAAAATTTACTTAAAAGTGTTTCCTTTCCCCTCAAATCTTCTTAAAATTGAAATGATTTAGTTTGAGAGGGAATTGGAAGGATTTGGAGGGATCCCAATTCTTTCTTTTTTATTCTATTCTCTCTATCCAAACACACTTAACACTATTCTTTCCTTTCTTTTCTTTTCCCTCCAAATCTCTCTAAATCCCCCAATCCAAACAAAGCGTAAGTAAAACCATTTTTTGTTTCTTTATAAATACGACATTTCAAAGTGCACTCTTTGTGCCATCGTTTCATTCAACTTCCAAGGACCATTGTCTTTTCCAACTAACACACCTCAGCCGGAAAAGCCATCATGCCGTCAGTTTCCGGCCAAACCGTCTGTGTTACCGGTGCCGGCGGATTCATCGCTTCATGGATCGTCAAACTACTTCTAGAAAAAGGGTATACCGTAAAAGGAACCGTCAGAAATCCAGGTAAATTATCCTATATATACTTAACATTCTCCTGAAACGTTAGTGTAAATTTATATTTGTATTCTTACAACTATTTATATATTTGAGTATTTGTTCTCACAGATGATCCAAAGAACTCGCATTTGAGAGAGCTTGAAGGAGCAAAGGAGAGACTGACTCTATGTAAAGCTGGTCTTCTTGATTACGGAAGCTTGCGAGAGGCCATTAATGGGTGTGATGGTGTTTTTCACACTGCATCACCAGTAACTGATGATCCAGTGAGTTCTCTTGATTTATTTACTACCAACCCTTTGTTTGGTTGGCGAGAAAATGGCAGAAAAGATATCAATATTTGTCCAAATGCAGGAAATATACACACAAGCACACACATACGCATATGCATGTATATATAATCACCTAAATTAAATCTAGATCATTAGTTCATGCAAGTGGGTGGATGTTCTACAACTTTTTCTCTGTTTCTTTTTTTCAAAAAAAGAAATATGGGGTGACTGACAGAAATTGAGTTGAACCCACTTTTAATTAATGGGGATCAGATGATACGTAAATTTTGTAGAAAAAAATTAGTCTACAAAATAAAAAAATTATTCAGAATTTGACTGACACTATGACATATTTGAACTTAAACGGAATTTTGTTGTTCACTTACTTTGAAGTGACAATAGATAAATATACCACGGTATGAACTTACATAAATATATATTACAGTATATATGTATGTATATATTCTGTTTCAAAACAGCTGCTTCTTGTATGTATGTATATGTTCTGTTTCAAAAATAGCTTATTTTTTTATGTATGCATATGTTCTGTTTACACATGCATTTGTGGTGCAGTGGGGAAGGGTTGAGATCAAACCAATTGATCCCAGCCATCTATATTGCTACACGGAATAAATGTCACACGAGAATTTTAACTGTTCTGTTTGTAATTTGTAGACTTTTTCCTTGTTTTCTCCGAGCAAATTTATTTTACTTTGTTGACATGAGATTGATTGTATGTGTCGTGTTCAATTTGAAGGAACAAATGGTGGAGCCAGCAGTGAACGGAACTAAGAATGTTATAATTGCAGCGGCTGAAGCCAAGGTTCGGCGCGTGGTCTTCACGTCATCAATTGGTGCAGTGTACATGGACCCTAACAGGGACCCTGATATAGTGGTTGATGAGAGTTGCTGGAGTGATCTTGAGTTCTGCAAGAACACTAAGGTCTCTTTTATTATAAAAACTTAGAATTTCCTCTACATCATTCAATAATAATATTTGACCAATTGTATAAAAAATCGACTAGTACAACATTTGGAAAAGGGCCAGTGTAGTAGAAATATAAATCAGTTCGAGAGCTCTGACTTTCAAATTCTCAATCATTTTTCCTAGTTTTTTAAACTCGTAGTAGGAATAGAATGCCAAAAATGTGCTTTATGATGGTTATGCCATGTGAACTTGTAGAATTGGTACTGCTATGGAAAGGCGGTGGCAGAGCAGGTGGCGTGGGAGGTGGCGAAGGAGAAAGGGGTGGACCTAGTGGTGGTAAACCCGGTGTTGGTGCTGGGACCATTGCTGCAACCAACAATCAATGCTAGCATTATTCACATTCTCAAGTACTTGACTGGTTCGGCCAAGACTTATGCCAACTCGGTCCAGGCCTATGTCCATGTCAAAGATGTGGCATTGGCACACTTACTCGTCTACGAGACCCCTTCAGCATCCGGGCGATACATATGTCTTTGCACCGAAAGGATGCTTCACCGTGGTGAGGTGGTCGAGATTCTGGCCAAGTTCTTCCCGGAGTATCCTGTCCCTACCAAGTAAGCTAAATATTGATTATGGAACTTGTAGGTCCACTGATCTAAATTGTGGGGATGAGTTCAAATATTGTTCTTAATATATTATAATATCTATCATATGGAAAATTCTCTGTATCTAATGATGGCCTACATATGAATGGTGTTGGGAGGGATAAGCTAGATAAATAACCGACTTTTTCTTTTCTTTTTCTTTTTCTTTTTTTTCACAAAGGTGTGTTTGGTTTTATAGTGGTGTAAGATAGAATAGCTAGAAGTGCTCTTTTATTATTATTATTATTATTATTATTTATCGCGATTGATTTCTTATTGTCTGTTTTAAGGACCATTTCTAAAGTTTTAAGTTTGTCTAAAAATGCAGGTGCAAGGATGAGACAAAGCCAAGAGCAAAACCCTACAAGTTTTCGAACCAAAAGCTGAAGGACATAGGGTTGGAGTTCACACCAGTGAAGCAATGCCTATATGACACTGTCAAGAGCCTGCAGGAGAAGGGTCACCTCCCACTCCCCACACAGCCGCAAGATGAATCTATCCGCATTCAGACATAGTTTCTTTTTTCTAGCTACCATTGATGAAGGGCACACCTCCAAGCCCCGGCCATGCTGGCAGTGATTATTATAAATCTCGTGTGAAGACGTGAATAGCAGTAGCATATTGGTAACTTTCAAAATAAAAGATTGAGGGTTTAAATCGAGAATATATATATATAAAAGTTAATGTGTATTGTAGTTAAGCTTTCTTTTCGGGTTGAGTGGTTTGCCAGTTTCCTTTCTACTATGAATTATATCTATTTTTGAGAGGTTTGCCAGTTATCCACTATGAACTTATATCTATATAATGTGAAAATAGTTTAAACGCCTGCGGAAGCTTTTAGTTGTTTTAATTATGATTAATTTTTTAATGACCTAGATTAAATTAATAGGTCAACTTGTCCAATTTGTGATTGATTAAATTATTTAAGCACTACGATCAATTTAAACATCCACAATCATAAAGATAAATACTGTAAAGTAATGCAAGAAGAGTTACAGAATTTTTAGCGAGGAAACCGCCGTTGGTAAAATAAACCAACTGTTGGTATCGGAAAAACCTCGTGGACTATGCAATTCAAAGTAAACCGATCCACTATGTTTGAAACAAAGTACACTCAACTTTGACTCAGGCTCACACCTTATCGTTCTACCAAATACCAATCGCAGATAATCCTCTTTCTTAGAGACGTCCATCCAACAGCACTTGACCTCAGGCTTATTCTTGATCTCTGTAGAAGGGTTGAAGGTAGATCAAACAACACTTCTAAAATACTTTGACCCTTTAAAAGTGTGATCATTTTTACTCATTTTCTTCAAGATCTGAAATCATTGTAGAAGAATAGATCTTCTATGTTGGAATCTCTGAATGTTCAATCAAACTCCAATTCCGATGAGATGGAGAACAACACTACTAGATTACTCATGAATATAATGTGTGCTCTCAAATATAAATTCAGATTAATCAGATTTAATTGATTTTTTGAATTATATCTCTCTAAAACCTTTCTCAAAATATTAAATTGACGTTCCTCAAAGCCATACCTTAGTAATGAAGAAGTTTGGAAGACCTAAACATACTTGTAAAACAAGTAAAATTCGTACATAAGATTTAGAAGAAAGTCTGGACCAAAAAAGAATCAAAACGAAACAGGAAAACCAAGTTACCTAAACTGACTCAGCCTCTTGAACCGATTCCAAAGTTGGCTACAGGTTCAGAAATGACAGAGTCAATTTCGATGCACTTTGGCTACTGGTTCAGCAATGGCAGTGAAGAATTCCTCTTTGAACCACAATTGGCTTCCGGTACCAGGAAATCCCTACCGGTTCCTAATAAACAGAAGTCAATCCTACTATTCCTTCAACATTCTAAAACTTCCTAAGTGTTTTCTCACTTACATACCTTCCTAAAGCATTGTTCTCATCATCCTGAAGTGTAGTAAACTATGAACACTTGAGCTTTTTTAAATCCGCATCCAATTTTCAATCCTGAAATTTTGAACCGAAAAATTACAACTCGATCGGATTTCTTTTGACAACGAAATTAGCCAATTATAAAATATATATCTCACATATAATATAACAACAAGATTTGATTTGCAAATCCTGTTAGATATAGATGATGATCATATAAGAAGAGAAACCACAACTATAATGGAGCATCAAGGTCCAAATTCAATTTTTTTTTTTTTTATTATTTTTTTTTTTAAATTTCGGGTATCCGAGGCTTCGCCCAGACTAATCCTCGGACCGGGTAAGTCGCTAAGTATGACAACGAAGGAGTGGCCCCAATAGAGACGTGGTGCTAGGAAGGCACCAAAGCCCAAGTGATTTTACAACTAAGTCAATCCCTTCCATATTCAATGTTGATAAAGGATCAAATTTTTATTTATTTATTTTTATTTTTTATATCAGGTAAGTATTCACGCACAGTAGGCTCAAACCTCTCCTCTCCTCTTTTGAAGATGGAGAGTTTATGTCATTGCAGGCTTCAATAATCGGATAGAATTAATTATTCTAAATATGTTTGTTTCTTTAATTAAACAACTATTTTTTATTTTTTAAAAAAACCTAAGTCTATATATATATATATATATATATATATATATATATATATATATATATATACTAGGAAAAGGCACATGTGATGCACGTGTTGAATGTTTTATAGATAATGTGATAGAGTTTTACAGAAAATAAAACAGCTAATTTGTGGTAGATTTTATAAAAATTATTTTATTTTCTTTAAATATATTATTGTTTAAATATATTTACTTTTATTAAAAAAAAACTCATAATAAATAGATAAATAGGTAATATGTGTTAGAATTTTATAGAAACTATTTTGAAAACTCTTTTTATATCAATTAATAAATATTTTTTTATATTAATAATTCTTGTATAATTAGATTTTAATAAATAAATAAATAGGTAATTTGTGTTAGAATTTTATAGAAACTTTTTTAAAACCTCTATTTACATCAATTCATAAATAATTTTTTATATTAACAATACTTGTCTAATTAGATTTCCTTTTATTAAAAAACTCAAAATAAATATATAAATATGTAATTTGTATTAGAGTTTTTATAGAAAATCTTAAAATATATCTTTGTCTAATATATTAAATTTTATTGAAAATAAAATAGGTAATTTGTGGTAAAGTTTTTCTAGTCTAATTAGATTTTTTTTTATTAAAAAATTTATAATAAATAAATAAATAGGTAATTTGTGTTAGAGTTAAATAGAAACTCTTTTAAAAACAATTTTTATATCAATTAATTAATATTTTTAAATTTTAATAATTTTTGTCAAATTAGATTAGCTTTTATTAAAAAAAAAACTCAGGTAGTTTGTGATAGAGTTTTAGAAAAATTATTTTATTTTTTATATCAATTAAAAAATATTTTTTATATTTATAATTCTTGTCTAATTATAATTTCTTTCATTAAAAAATATATAATAAATAAATAAATAGGTAATTTGTGTTAGAGTCTAATATAAACTCTTTTAAAAATTCTTTTTTATATCAATTAATAAATATTTTTATTTCAATAATTCTTGTCTAGTTAGATTTACTTTTATTAAAAAATTCATAATAAATAGATAAATTGGTAATTTGTGTTAGAGTTTTTTATAGAAACTCTTTTGAACCTCTTTTTATATCAATTAATAAATAATTTTTTATATTAGTAATACTTATCTAATTAGATTTCATTTTATTAAAAAATGCACAATAAATAGATAAATAGGTAATTTATGTTTGAGTTTTATAGAAACTCTTTATTAGGTAGATTTTATTGTTTATATTTTTTTTATATATAAATAAATAAATACTGAAACTCTTTACACATAATAAAAACTCTTTTTAATAAATACTGTATTTTACTCTGTAATTTTAGATTTCTAGAATTCTCAATTTTTATATCCCTTCCTCCATGCCTCTATTTATAGACTTATTGGATTAATATGATTATGACATGTGTCCTTTTCTGATAATGACATAATCATGGCTGGGCGGGCCGGTTATATTATGATAATTATCCATAAAAAATAATAATTTTTTTATTGAATTAAAAATAAGAGTTTTATATAAAATATGATTGATATTATTAGGTAATTTTGTAATTAATAAATATTTTTATTCTAATTATTCTCGTCTAATTAGATTTACTTTTATTAAAAAAAAACTCAAAGTAAATAGATAAATAGGTAATTTATGTTAGAGTTTTATAGAAACTATTTTAAATCCTCTTTTTATATCAATTAATAAATAATTTTTAATATTAATAATACTTATCTAATTAGATTTCCTTTTATTAAAAAAACTCATAATAAATAGATAAATAGGTAATTTGTGTTAAAATTTTATAGAAACTCTTTAAATATATCTTTGTCTGGTGTGATAGAACTTTCTTGAAAATAAAATAGGTAATTTTGATAGAGTTTTATATAAATTATTTTATTTTCTTTAAATATATCATTGTCGAATTAGATTTAATTTTATTAATAAACCCATAATAAAAGTTAATTTGTGGTAGAGTTTTACAAAAATTATTTTGTTTTATATATCAATTAATAAATATTTTTTTATATTAATAATTATTGTCTAATTAGATTTTTTTATTAAAAAATTCATAATAATAAATAGATAAATAGGTTAATTTAAATTTTATTATTTAAATTTTAGTTTTTTAAATATTTTTTTATACAAATAAATAAATACTTAAATACTAAAATCTTTGCACATCTAATAATAGTATAGATAAAATCTTTTTTTACATCAATTAATAAATATTTTTTTATAAAAATAAATAAATACTGAAACTCTTTGCTCTAAAATTCCGGATTTCTAGAATTTTCAATTTCTATGCCCCTACCTCAATGCCTCTATTTATAGGTTTCTTGGATTAGTACGATAACATGTGTGATAATTACATAATCATAACTGCCCGGAGCTCGTTATATTGTGATAATTATTCATAACAAATAACAATTTTTTTTATATTGAACTAAAAATAAGAGTCTTATATAGAATGTGATTGATTTTATTAGGTAATTTTATAGAAGTTATTTTTACAAAAACTATTTTTATATCAATAAATAAATATTTTTTTTATATAAATAAATAAATACTGAAATACTAAAACACGTTGCATTATTTTATTAGGTAATTTTTAATTAATAAATATTTTTTATTTTAATAATTTTTGTCTAATTAGACTTACTTTTATTATAAAACTCATAATAAATAGATAAATAAGTAATTTGTGTTAGAGTTTTATAAAAACTCTTTCAAAACCTCTTTTTATATCAATTAATAAATATTTTTTTATATTAATAATACTTATCTAATTAGATTTCCTTTTATTAAAAAACTCATAATAAATAGATAAATAAGTAATTTGTGTTAGAGTTTTATAGAAATTCCTTAAATATATCTTTGTCTAGTGTGGTAGAGTTTTATTGAAAATAAAATAGGTAATTTGTGATAGAGTTTTATAGAAATTGTTTTTTTTTCTTTAAATTGAATTCTTGTCTAATTAGATTTTCTTTTATTAAAAAATTCATAATAATAAATAGATAAATAGGTTAATTTAAATTTTATTATATAGATTTTAGTGTTTTAATTATTTTTTTATATAAATAAATAAATACTTAAATACTGAAACTTTTTGCACATCTAATAATAGTATAAATTAAAATTCTTTTTATATCAATTAATAAATATATTTTTTATATAAATAAATAAATACTCAAACTCTTTGGCAGAGTTTCTGTATTTTACAAATTCTGGATTTCTAGAATTCTCAATTTTTGT